ATTTTAAATTTTAAAGCCCGGCTCGGATAATTAAAATGGCTCTTGGGTGATAATATTACGGAGGTCTCGCTTGAATATAGAATAAGAAAAAATATTTTAACCTAATAAAACGACGTTAATAAAATTTTAATATTTTTATAACTTTGGGCGTTGAATGAATGACGTACTTCGAAAATTAAATTGTTTTTAGAAAATATATATGTTAGTGCGTTTTTTCCGGCAATGTGTTATTTTTTCAACTTTAAATCATTTTTTTGAACACGTTTCATTAAATTTAAAAATATATATTTTTATCGAAAATGCATTTCATCATGTTTGGAATAATGAATTAATTTCAGATAATTTTAACAAGAAATTTTTAACTTAATAAATTTTTATTTGTTTTACTATAGATTTTTCTTATAAATTACAAATGACTCAAATTTAAAGGTAAAATTGTCTACAATTCATAAGATAGGTATTCTAAACATGCTGGAATACATTTCCGGTTAAATCAGACTTCTAAATCAAACAAAATGTGCAAAATTGTAAAAATAACACATGTCCGCGAACATATATACTTTCTTTATAATATATTTATCTCATTTTTCATCATATTTATTTTCATATTTATATAAAAAAAATGTAAAGGTGGATGAGTTAATTCTCTGAAATTTATTTCATTTCATTTATTGATAAAAGAAGCGTGGCGTCAATAATTAAAAAAATTTAAGAATATGAAGTATAATTCAGGATTTAAATATAGTTAGTTAGTTTTTTTTATAATAAAAATAGGAATTGATTGCATGATTTGTTTTAAACTACTAATTTAGATAGAACAGTATAATAATCAACAAAACTCGAATTTATTCCAATTTGATTTGTTCTTGATTTTTCAATTTAAAGATGCCAACTGAATACAAGAATATGTCATAAATTTGTAAAATTATAGTAAATCGTTTTATTTGATTCAATGCCAAAAGTCAAGGAAAATATGATGTTCATGGAATTCATCATCATTGATAAAATTTTTCAGATTATTTGAATATAAAGTAATATTTATCATTTCGTTGCGAAAACTGATTGGTATTTAAAAATGAAATGCTATTTCGCTTTTTTATATTAATAATCGTTATTTCCTGAGCATAAAGGTTTCGGTAATGTAAGATAAATCTGAGAAAGAAGAGGTAATATTAAATGAAATGGTAGTAAAATGTATATTATTAAAGATCGAGACAGGAAAACTAATTAAACGATTATAAGAGATCTTTAGGATAGTTTAAAAAGTCCGATTTTAGCCAAAATAGTATTACCTGGAGACTTCGCTCATATATGGTATTAGGACCTCTATTTGCCAAATCTCGTGGCTTACACAATATTATTTTAAATTTTAAACTCAGGGATTTTTAAAAGTGAAAATAATCATCTTTTTAGGCTTTGTCCAAATCAAAAAAAAACTAATTCAAAAACTTTCAATTTATATAAAAAACAGGAAATATTGCCTTTTTTTAAATAGAAAAAAAATAAAAATACTGCCAAAACATATTTCTATAAAATTTCATTCAGTTTCCCTAAGCCCTTTCAAATTTTTGAAACGGGTTTTAAACCAGTGGCATAACCAGAATTATTGAGTAGATGTCCTCATTAATTATATTTTGTATTTTCTGCTGCGAATTCATGCAGGAATTACCCTGCATTCCATTCACTGCTAAGTATATAAAATATACTATATTTTTATATTCTTCGCTACGAATTCGCGCTAACCGTGAATGCAGGGTTGTTTTAAAATTTTTCAAAAAAATATTGCGGCCTTTGGCCACTAGTTTTCTCTCAAAATTATTTTATTTTCGAACCCTAAATATAATAAAGAAGAGTTTCTTTGTATTTTATTATTTTATTTTAATAAATTATAACAAATATTTATTTATGACTTTTATTTTAAAATCTAGATATTTTTATTGCTAGAGTAAGGAATAAAATTAATGAAAAAATATATAAATGTCGCGAAGTATAAATTGTGCAGGGTAAAAAAAAGGGATATAATTTATATAGAATTCAAAATATGTGTAAAAATAAGATTTTAACCAAAATAATATTACGCAAAATTCGAGATTTCGTTAATAGATATCAAACCTTTCTGCTACCTATGAACAAAATCTCCAATGCATAATATTTTTTGACTAAACTATTGGTTTACCCTTTGACCAAAATATTGGATCAGCCGTTTTAAAAAATCCAGTCGTTTAACACTATTAAAGCGATATACACTTCTAAAATTTATATAAATTAAAATTTCGGTTTAATTCTGGGTCTCACCATTTCTTCATTATATTTTTCGTATCTTGGAGTGAGATCTCGTTATATTTTTTTATAGACCTTAATTCTTGATTGCGTAGAAGTTGCCCTTTAGCAACTTTTCAGCCTCTTCTATGTCGAAAATGATTCTCCTTCGGGGCCGCTAATATCCCAATTTGTACCAGAATGTTATAGTTTTTCAACGCACAATGAGATTCTGAAGATAATTTAAAGGCTACATAAAGCCAAAATTATTGTACCAAAATTGGATATCTTTTTTTAATAGCTCAAATAGTGTTCTGCATCGGGCCTAATTTTTCAAGCCCGGCCCGGCCTGAAATTTTTTTTAAAAAAGTTTTGCCGGCAAGGCCCGAACCTGAATTTTTTTTATAAAAATCTATAGGCCCGGCTTGAATTTATTTAAATAAAGAATTTTTTTATAATTACTCAAAATAAAAGACATATGTTATATGGCGTTTAGTTTCAATAAATAAAATCTAAATTTTTTATTTTACAAAAAAAATTCAATATAAAATTGATATATTTATAAAAATTTCCAAGGGCCCCCGACCCGGCCCAAATTTTGTTTAAAAATATTGGGCTTGGCCCTAACCCGATTATTTTAAATAAAATTAGCCCGGTCCGAAGCCCGTTCGGGTCGGGCCGAACTCGGGTCGGGCCTAACTTTGCAGATCTCTAAGTTCAAATAACCAACAATTATAGGAAATATAAAATGGAGCTTAATTTCTTTGCATACTAATTATAATCGGTTAAGAATTAATTTTTGTTTTTTACATCCTAGTAATGAAAAAAAATTATGTGTTTAATTATTTTCAATTGGAGAATAAATTTTGCGAATGAAGGTAGAATAACGTTGATTCTTGGGTTAAGGATCCATTTAATATAATTCTGGATTAGGTCAGATTTTTAGAAGAATCAAATAAATATGAAATATGTTAGATATATTAACTAGTGTAATTAAACGGTTTGATGCTTAAAAACTGCCAAATCAAGTATTAATCAAGCCTGAAGATTTTATTCATATTGGCATGACGGTTTGGACATCTATTAACGAAATCTCGAGGCTTGCCTAATATTTTTTGTTAAAATATTGGTTTGGCTATTTTTAAAAATCGAGTCGTTTAACATAGTATTATCTATCTTTAGGTATAACATAAATTCAAAAAAAGTATAATATAATATTTTTATCCTCATTCAAATCTGAATTGAATTATGTTCAGACTTATCGTTTAAAGATAATTATACACAGCAACAGCAATCACAAATAAATGAAATTCGTTATCATAGAGAAAATTTAAAGAAAAAGATAAATCTTAATAAAATTTTGACCAATTTATTAATTAACACACATATATTGGATTATGGGGTGCCCTGACCCAGAATCACACCCCATAGTTATGCTAATGTTTTGAACGAAATCTAAAGCAACAAATATAAATAGAAATTTTGAAAAATATAATAAAGCTAGTTCTTGTATATAGTAAGAGGAGGGGCTTAAAAAATTGTATAAATTCAAAAAAAAATTGAATCTTAAAAATATTTTATTTCATTTAAGTGCTAATCTGATATATTTCACTAGGAAAATTTCTTTAAATTTTCATAATTTATTTTTATCTTTAAGGTTCAAATGTTCTTTAGTAAAGAACCTTTTTTTCCTATTTGTTTAACAAGAAGCCATAGATAGATAAGATTAAGGCCTAAGCCCCGATAAAATATTTACAATATTATAAATTATTGGTAGTTTTAGATATATGCCAGGAGTTCCAATTCTGCTATTTGAAAATGTTATAATTTCCGATATTATTTAGCTTTAATTACCTGTTCTATAAAACAAAGCTAACCAACTTTACTTGCTGTTACACAGCCCCATTTATAGATAAATAGTTGAATATTTTACTATTTTCCTTAAACAATTTGGAATAAACACTTTCTATTAATTTTGTTTAACATTTCCAACTGATATCACAAAACAAAATTTATTGTTTAAAATAACTAGTTACCTGTCAGGTAAGGGCCCACTGAAGGTAATAAAAATATAAGATTATGATAATTGCATATGTGATCATTGTATATGTATAAAGTTTAGAAAGATTTATAGAATTTTTCAAATAACTAAGCACTTAGAAAAATAATTGAGTTTGGTAAAAAAAAAATGAACAAAAAAGTAATAATGCAATACATAAAAAGTCAAATTATTTTGATGATTTATATTTTTCAAGAATGTTTCCTAAAGAATTTTTATCAATAAAATGTTTTCCAAATCATTTAATCAATATAGAACATAATTGTATAGCATTTCATTTTTGGGCAAAATAAGCGATTTGTAATGGACTTTCTAGCAAGGCTTTTATTGATTAATTAATAAATTTCAAAGCTAGCAAAAACATAAACAATATAAATATATGGATTAATTTAATTTTCTTAGCACTTATCATGATAATATAAGTCTTAAATATTGTTTAGCATAATAGATTTGAAGATTGAAAGATTTTAAAATTATCTCTAAAGTGTAAAAAATAATACTTAATGTTCAGATGGGAAAAAACTTTTAACATCCATAAGTTATATTCCATAAGATTAAAGTGCATTTTAATTAAATTATATATGAAAAATTTAAACATCAGTTTGAAAATACAATATATATTTTGAGTATTAGAAAAGTTGTAATCAATTTATATTATTTTTAAAGCTATTAAAATATCTACCTCTATTTAATATATTTGGACAGTAAGAAGAAAGGTGTGCGAATTTGATGAACCATAAATTTGTAAATTTATAAAAAAAAGTTAATAAAGAAAAATAATTTAACAAATTGAACAATTTAACGAAATTATTTTTGATTATTTTAAAATTATATGGTTGTTAATTTTTTTGATTTTTTATCTATCATTTCTGTCTTATAGAAGTTTATGCTTACATTTCTTATTTTAATATATAAATATTTTCTTAATCATATTAAGAAATAAAAATATTTATATATGATGAAGAATAAAGTAATAATTTTTATTATAATCGATCATATGACTATTCTTCATCGGAGACAAGTTGATGTGTATTTTCTTTATTCTAATTAATTATCTTATTTGTTTGTTGTTTTAATGGCGGTGAGTTTGGGGCATAGGCGTTGATAATGCCCTGCGATTCGCCAAGCCCTATTTAAAAAAAATTGAGCCAAGCTTGAAATTTAGGAATTTTAAAAAAATCAAAAAAGTAGCGAAAATGTTTTTATAATATAATTGAAATTTATCTATGATGATGAAAAGTAATTCGTAATTTTTTCTTCATCTTAATAAAAATGCGTTTTATTTATATTTTTTAATTAAAAGTTATAGGCCGAACTTGGATCCAAAATAAAAATTCTGGCACAAGCTTAAAATTTATAAAAAATATCTGACCACGCTGTAATATAAATAAAATTGTGCTAGAGCCCCAGTCGGTGTGAAAGATTTTGGTTGATATTTGATTCTCTCACTATTGTTTATCAAATCATGCTAATTGCTAAAATTATGTGTGTGCTGGTATGCCAGAATAAAATAACATTTCCTTAGATATTTGATTAGTTTGGCTCAATCACACATGCTTACTATGATATATCCTTTCTTTATTACACTCGTGAATATGGTAATATTTTATAGTTTTCTTTTCTAATCTTAGGTCTCCATCGTGCTCTAGAAGTAGGTCTAAAATAAATTATTCGTTATTCAATTTATTTCGTATATTATGAATACTAATAGGCAAATTATTTGATTTAGAAATACAAATCAAGTATAAATAAGTAATGTATTTATCGATTAATAGGCTTTTTATTCTGATAAAATTATTTGTATCGTTCAAAATTAGTCGTATTTTTTTATTATTCAAAATTGTATTAAGTATTTAATATAACTATTGATGAAATTTTTTATTGTCATTTAAAATATTTATTAAATTTATAAAACGCTTGCTTAATTATATAATTTGTAATTATATACTAAAATTTATCATAATTTCACCCATAGATATATATTATTAGATTTTTTTTTACCCAAAATATATTTAATCCGATAAGTTTTACCTTTTTATCCTTTAAGAAACCAAGTGAATCACACTTTTCTGAGTTTAAGAGATTTTATTCAGAAAAAAGAAAATATCTCCTAATATAAAAATTTTTCACCTTGGATATCAATACAATCACAAATAATGTAAATCTAGGAATATAAAAATAATAAATAATATAAACATATTATCTAATGCAAAAAAGAACGATTCACAATTAGTCTCCTAATTGTGTCAATGAGAAAATAATAAACTAAATCTAAAAATATAATATTAAGCGAATGTAAATGTCGATCTAAATTATTTGTAAATATTATTTATGTTCGGCTTTGACAACACGTAAGGTTTATTATTAGGGAAGCAAATAACTTTTTATTTTTATTAATCAAATACAAGATACTAAGATTTATAAACAGGAATTCGTTTTTGTTTTTGAATAGAATTCTCAAGAAACAAATTTTCAACTTTTTAAAAATATTTTTTCAATTGAGATAGATTGAATAATCGATAAAATTTTTACTCTTTTTAAATATCTCTCTTTCTAGGTCTAACTCTGAACTTACCGTTGTTGAGCCAAAGTTAGATTGAAAAATTATGTTTTCTATTTCAATTAAATCATAAAAAAATTATCTTTTATATATTTCAAAAAATAATCATTTTTTATTTACACCACAGCTTATTTTTTAAACTTTATAAAATTACACAATGCGGTTGTTTTTCTCTTGTTAAAATAATAAACAATTTTATATTTGGTTCCCCAATGTATATATTTTTTCCTTTAACATAGTTAAAATAATATTTTTTTAGATAAGATGACTATTAAATTTTTTTAACGTAACTTATTTTAAAAATTTTTTGAGAAAAATTATAAAGGAAACAATTATTCCTTTGCTTATATGAACGTTTCGCTACTGATGTTTGGAATATTTTATATTTTATATAGGTAAAATATTTTATTTATCATTCATTTGTCTCTTAAATTGATTTAAATTTCAAATTTTTTAACAAATACAACCTGGATCTGAAATTTAAGAGATAACGGTAAGCTAAACCTTTGTATAATTTATTTCATATTAAATATGTTATTTGCAGTATGACAATGAATTTTGGAATAATCATCGTAATCTAGATTCATCTTATATAAATGAATTGCCTTAAAATATTATCAGCATATCTTGGTAAAAAAATTTTTTCAATTTTGCCAATTTTTAACTTGCCTCTATTCGGCCCCCTGAGTTTTAGATCTAGTTACACTATTCTGTTTGTAGTTGTTGAAAAAAAGAAGAAATAAATTTAATATAATACATCAAATGTCAGTTATTTTCTGACAGGGGAATTAGTTTTCCTGGTGGATGGGAGGAAAACGAAATGATCACATGGGTTGTTTTAGAAAAGAACAATAAAAGTTTCTTTGTTTGCGATTTGGAGTGAAGAAGACATGATATTAGATGACGACGGGATTGATTGGGGATGATATGTTTAATATCTATTATAATGTTATATGTGCATGATGACTTGTAGTAATGTTTATTATATTTATTTAATATTATTAAAGGGATTGTTTTGGATTGATAAATTATATATTTTTGAGAGGGAAGGGTTGAGAGTAAAGGGCATTTCTATATTATTATTTTTTTTCAATACTGTAAATACTAATTTGGAAATGGAATAGTTTTTTTAGTCCTTGAATCTATAAATTCGTTTCTTATCAATGCTTTTCCATTATCTAATGCTTAAGTTTTCGGCTGTCCGAAAATATAATGAGTTTTAACTAATGTTGTTTAATGGTCAGATTTAACGGATTTTAAAGTAAGTTTTAACCTAAAGCCTCGAGATTTTGCTAATTGATGTCTGAACCCTTTTGCCATCTATGATTGACTTGAGAAATAATTTTTGGCTAAAATCTTGGGTTAGCTGTTTTTTTTAAAAATCTAGTCTTTTAGCAACATTATTTTATACAGACTTATTTGAAAAATATATTAAATTAATTAATTCCAATTAGGGTACCTTATTTGCATTCTTAGGAATAATAGAAACATTTTATTCGTCTAATATTCGATTTAAAAACTAAATTCCTTAAAATTTTCGAAAATGAAATATCGGAGAATGAAGTGAATATTTTTGTTTAAAAAATTAGTGATTTCACCTTGTAAGATTTATACTAAAAAATACTTATCAAATAATTTTATAGTTTTTCTTTTTAAATTTTTTAAAATTTTTTTTTACAAATTTTATTTATAATAAATTATTAATAATTTATATTTATCTTATTCTAAAAAAAACAAGTAAAATTAACAAGTTTTATTTATTTATAAATAAAAATTTTATTTCTACTTTAAAAAATAAAATAATTATAATTATAATATGTATATCATCGACTGGTATATATACTGGTATATGTAACAAAACATTTAAATTAATACTCAATAAATTATTTTACAAATTTGAATAAATAACACAATATGTAACAAAACATTTAAATTAATACTCAATTAATTATTTTACAAATTTGAATAAACAACACTATTAACATTCCCCTCCTCGACAAAGCATCAAGTTGCTGCTCAGAGGGCGCATAAGTCTGTCTGATGGCGTGAGTACGTTTTTGTAGGTTAGAAAAGTTGCTGTACGTTATCATTATTATAAGGATCAAGTTTGAATATATGGAATAAAATTTTGGAATAAAAGAATTTGGAATAAAATTTTTGGAATGTAGAATAACATAAGAATGATAAATCAAAAAAATTATATAAAATTTCGCGTTTTTTTTTTAAATTTTGCGTTTTATATTTTATTAGTAGCGTTTTAATATTTAATTAGTAGCGTTTTAATATTTAATTTATTTTTATTTATTTTCAATCTCCGAGGTTAAAATATGCAAATATTATGCACATTTCCTTCTCTTAAAAAAAATTTAAATTTCACACAATATTTTCCTAAAATAATGATGTTTAATTTTTACATAACCTTTTGTCTTCAAAAGCTTTATTTCAAAAACATTTTTATCATATTAAGTATTACTTATAAGGGTTATGTAAATCTATCATGTGATTTAAACCTTTTAATTCATGTTTTAATTACATTTTAATATATTTAAAATTAAAGTTTTATCTTCTTGTTTAGGATTTTTAATGGTTTATTTTTAATTATATCTAAAAATTCATCTTTAGGTTTAGTTAATTTACAAAAATTGGTCATCATACAAGAAATCCAAAAAAAAATATCAATATTTCACTAAGAAATTAAGTAAATAATTTTTTAAGGCTTTTATGTGTTCAAATATGTCCATTATTGATTTACATTTAAGTTATTTTAATAAGTAAATTTACAACATGCCTTTATCTCGGCATAAAATTTTAATTTCAAATAACTTTTCTTCTTACGTGGATTAGAATAATAAGTGATCATCATTGGTCTCACAATATAGAATTCATAACCTAACGTCCAACTTCCATATTGGTTCTTTCTAGGTTGTCACATTAGGTTAGGTGCTGGTTATCATATTCCAGTCCAACATCCAGAGCCAGGACACCATGAAGAAAGAAGCTTTTTGCATGAAAGTGCTAAGGTTTGATTCTAGGTCATCTCCGTAGATTAAGCAATCAACACAATAGGTAGTCATCACAATAGCTAGTCATCACAATAGGTAGTCATCACAATAGCTAGTCATCACAATAGGTAGTCATCACAATAGCTAGTCATCACAATAGCTAGTCATCACAATAGGTAGTCATATAAATAGAGTCATCTCAATGGATTAAGCAATCATCACAATAGGTAGTCATCACAATAGGTAGTCATATAAATGGAGTCATCTCAATGGATTAAGCAATCGTCACAATAGGTAGTCATATAAATAGAGTCATCTCAATGGATTAAGGAATCGTCACAATAGGTAGTCATCATAATAGGTAGCCATGTAAATAGAGTCATCTCAATTTATTAAGCAATCGTCACAATAGGTAGTCACCACAATAGGTAGTCATATAAATAGAGTCATCTCAATGGATTAAGAAATCGTCACAATAGGTAGTCACCACAATAGGTAGTCATATAAATAGAGTCATCTCAATGGATTAAGCAATCGTCACAATAGGTAGTCATCACAATTTTGAATTTAATTTAATTTAATTTTTACTTTTTTATTTTAATTTTAGGCAAATTTTATATATTTTCTTCTTTTTTTTTTTACAAAAACGTAACGGGGCGCCATAAAAGAAACAAGTAATATTTAATTTATTTTTGTTTTAAATAAAATTTTATTTCTACTTTAAAAAATAAAATAATAATAATTATAATATGTATATCATTGACTGGTATATATACTGGTATATGTAACAAAACATTTAAATTAATACTCAATAAATTATTTTACAAATTTGAATAAACAACACAATATGTAACAAAACATTTAAATTAATACTCAATTAATTATTTTACAAATTTGAATAAACAACACTATTAACATATTCATAACTTCACGTATCATCAAATAACCAAAATTGCAAATAAAATTTTATCTAAAATGTTTCAAAATTATTAATTTATACTAATCTAGAAATTAATATTAATAAATTATCAATGATATAATATCATTGCAAATTATATAACTCAGTCAAAGATCGATATTAAAAGCTATAAAAGAAGGAAGCATCATTCTTTTGTTTAAATAATTTATTTTTGAAAAAATTTAATATCTAAAAGACTAATTTGTTTTTATGAATAAGGTTTAGAATAGGAAATTATTTATATACATTTATAATATCAAGTTTGGAACCTCAATCTGAACATGAAGTAATCGAAGCTGTATCAAATTTAAGAACCACTATTCCCTTAAAACAAATTTCTAAGAATTCGAAACAGAACCTTCTTGGAAATTATTCAGAACTGGAATTACCCATTGCAAATTTTGCTTAGAATACTTTAAAACAATTTTATAAGTAAATTATTTTAATAAACATATTAAGTCAATCTAGATTATACAAAAAGTGTCTCAGAGAATAAATAAGGATTTTATAAGAAGACATCACATTGCTGGTCATTTACAATTCATCTTTACGTCAATTTAATCATATGTTATAAATTATATATTTAGCATTCACTCATAATGCATTTCAATAATTTGAAAGATTTTGTACCCGATACCTATGTAAAACAAGCATCTGATGCTGATAACTCAATTAATAAAATATATGACCAGTTATTATATCACGTAATTCTTTAATACACAATTTTACCTATATATTTAATAGAAAAAATTGTTAGCTTATCCTATGCCAGATCTTTTAATTGAAAATCTTTTGTATAAATTTTCTTTAATGGATTCAAATAATTTTATATCCTCATGCCCTATTGGGGAAAGAGAAGCTAGAATATACTCTCCTATTGTTTCTAAACGACATTTTAAGTATTACATGATATGTTTTTTTTTAATTTAATTTAATCTCGCAAAAATTAATTTATAATACATATTTTTATTTTTAACTTAATTTTACCAGTCAATTTTATGAACAAGATCAAATTAAATAATATTATACCTCTGATTGTTTTTTAATATTTAATAAGTAATAAATATATAAGGTATATATAAAAATAACATAAAATTAATTAATTTCAAAAATTTCAGGCTTAGGTTAGAAAATAAAACAGTATATAAATCAAATGATAATTTAAATTTCTATGGTATTAAGACAATATGAGATTTTTATTTATTTAACCTTAATTTTATATTTTTAAATTATAAAATGAGAAGCAGACTTAACTTGGCCTAAAATAAATATATAAAAAAAACTGAATTTTCCTGGCTCTTCTTTTTTATGACCAATTTATAAATAAAATCGAAAATAATTTTTAGAATAAAAGGGTGGGATGGGATCTACATAAGGCTATGACACAAATAACAAAAATATATTTAATTAACATTTGTAACTAACAAAAAAAGAGAAATAAATATTTTTAATGTAAAAATAAAATAGTGGTCTCATTTTTTTGAATTTATGAAAGTTTATTAATTTTTTTCAAAGTTAAAAAAAAATGAATATAATTTAATAAAATTTAGCTTAAAATTTATAAAGTTGTGGAATTTTTATTGAGAAAAATTTAAATTATAGTAAGAAATAGGCAATTATATTAATCAAAATTGAATGTATTTGAATTAAATAAATATAAAAATAATCTGGTATAAATTATTATAAATTTGGAAATAAACTTTTGAAGTGTTTTAATGGAAGATTTTGGACTAATTATATAAAGTTATAAAAGTTTATAAATTTTAAGGTTTTTTAAAGTATATTTTAATCAATGCTTCATCTGTTTTTTAAAAAACTATAAAAAATTATCCCAATTTTGAGAGCTTCTTTTTCCTTATATTTTATACTACTAAAAAATTTTCATTTTTTATTTGAATATTTTTGGTAATTTGCTTGAAAAAAAGGGATTTTGGATATTTGAATATATTAATAATATAATATTTATGTTTAAATATAGTAAATAAATTAGTTTTTTTTTGCTGGATAATTTTTTAAATAATTATGATCGAGCTTAATGTTTAAATGAACCAACCACTTTATGGAATTACTGGGCCTAATAAAGATTGTTTAAATGTTCATTATGAGGGCATAATAATTATTTTTATTAACTTTATTTTTTAAAACAAAAATAGAAAAGAAGAACGTTCATTAATTTTAAATTTTAAAAGGAATTAAAATTTATAGCTTAATTAATTATATAAATTTAAATCTGGATTATTCCAACTCAAGAAAATTGCCATTACAACAACTGTTTCATTTAAATTTATATTCGTTTATTTATAATCACACATTGCCCTTTGGATTTGATAGATTATTAATTATAATTTTAATAAATATTCTAATAATCCATATTTTTCACCACCTTTAATTAGCCCTTACTATTTCTCCTCTAATCCTATTTTTACTCCTTACCTCAGATGCTTTTTTTAATTTTAAATTCATATTGTCCCAATAAAAAATCTCCAGTTGAATGTAAGGCCTAACCGAAATCATTCTTGCTACAACTTTCATAATTCCCTGGATGATTACTCACCCATCATATGTTAATACTATATTATTTTACATTAACAAAATATGTACTTAATATAATAAATCAAATTTTGAAGTTTTCTAATCTCAACATTTATGCTCATTGGTTGTTTTAGAGTATATATCGGTTCGGATTCGATACTTGCTTTTATAAAATATCAGATTAGCCGATTTATTTTAAAAATACGATTCGATTAGACAACTCTTCATTCCTCCATATAAACATTGCCCATATTTTGAATGAGACGTATAGTTTTTGGATAATAAATAAATCAATTACACTTTATCATTCATAAAAGTTAGTTTGTTTTTAAATTAAAAAATATAGTTTTTTTATTACATTGGCTCAAAAATAGATGATCAATAAAAAAATATCGGGTGGATTTTAAAGTAAGATGGGTATGGGATCGGATATGAAAAAAAGTTGCGGATTGGCACAGCCGGTTGCGTTACCTCAAAGAATCTAATTGATAACCCTCAAAATAAATTTTTTTTTTAAAAAAAATTAGATATATAGAAATTATTATAAAATATAATAATAACAATTCTGATAAGCTTAGGTCATGGAATGGGTAGATCTGGCGATTTGAATCAAATTCAACCAAAAGCTACTGGTTCAAGTTCCTTGGCAAAGTTAACAAATCTTTTGATAAAAGATGCATTTAGAATTGCAGGTTGATTAAAAATTTTTGGGTCATATTTTTTTAAAAGTATCTATTATGCTATTAAGCTGAATTGCATTAATTAGCTTCGACTGCAGAGATATTTGTGATCATCATTTTAAATTAAAAAATACTGAAATGAATTTTATTTAATTATTAATTGTTAGGGTGTGTCCTGGTTCCACTTATTACTAAACAATCAGCTGTATAGTTTCAACTAAACAGCCTAAAAAGAATAAAAACGAAAAATAATCATACCACTATAATAGGATGTCCTAGTTCAAAAGGGGTTTACTCCTAGGCAGAACAGGAATAAGTATCAAAAATAAGTTTAATCAGGATATGGCCTTATTGTTATATTATAGTTTAATGTAATTTAGTATGTATTCTATAGAAAAAGAAATTCCTAAACACTTTTCCTCCTGGCGTTTCACCGATTACTATCAATAACGAATGTTAGGCCTGGTTCCTTTTTTAAAATCAGCAATGTTTTAAAATATTTATTAGGTGTTTTGTTGTAAAAATTCGTGAACTTTTCCTTTATGATTGAATATACCAAATAATTTTAAAAAACTTAGGCCCCGTTTATAGTAAATCACGATTGCAATGAGTACGCTTCTGACCACAGTTCGCCTCATCGTAACGCTCGTCAAAACGCCACTATAAATTTTTCCAAATATTTACTTGATTTTGTATTTGAACGAGAGTGATGTCGCTTTATTTCCGCGGTTGTTATGACTGATCCCTTATTTATTTTTAAAAGGAATTGAGATTGAATTTAAATTAGACATAAGCTCTCTTGCCCTTTCCCATTTTGAAATAAACCCACATTGGTATAAGACAAACAATTTTTTATCTGTACAAAAAATATAATATAGTATTTTATCTACTAAAAAGGTTTGCAAAACGTAAATTCATGCATAATGTTGCCCGTTGCCACTGGCATGACCCTTACTCTCTGTTTTCTGACGCTCAGAAAGATTAGACCCCTGGCTAAATTTATCATTTTTATGAGGATAGATCAAAAATCTTGCTTTAAATCTATCATAACAGCAGGTTTGAATATTTTATAATATAATAATTCAAACCTATTTTTTTATGTGAATCTAATAGATAATTTAAAATAAATAATAAGTGCCATACAAACCTGCCTATATATTCATATTGTTGTTTATATTATAAATATTTTTATTCAAATTAGTTGACACGGAATTTGTTATAGTTGAAAAGTTTTAATTTTTCAAAAATATTCTTTAAAAAAAGTGAAAATATTCTTTAAAAAAAGTGATATAATATGGATACCATCTCCCTCAGACATATAGGAGACGCAGCAATTTTAAAAAAAATGTTTAAATGAATGGGATGTTGCATTAAATGCACTTCCATCTTGGTAAATATGTTTTATTTTAACCATCAAAATTAATAATTTTATTCCATAAAAAATATAACATCTTATCTTTTTAAAAATTTTAACATTAGTAGATTTAAAAAAAAATAATATGTCATATATGAGTAACTTCTGTTTCAAATATAAATATTATATAACATGTCTAGTAAGTTAGAATAATTAAAAATATATTTAATTTTAATATTTTGCGGGTTTTAGATGAGGTAGCTCGCGCTAGTAGCAGAAATATCATTTTAAAATGGTAGTTTCAAAAATGCAAAGTGCCTCTTAATGGGTTAAAGTTTTATTTCCGGTCCTATAAATTCGCTTCCAAATTAATAATATTTTTTCTCTCATAAAGATAAATTTTTGAGGGGTCAGAATTTGGTAACAATGTTGATATTCAATTATTTATACCATTGCCTTTGTGGTTTTGACCTTTAATATGATATATTATTAAAAACGTTATTTTTCCATTTTTGCGTCCAAGGTTTTATTCCTATAATAGTGCAAGGCCGAACTTACCCTGCTACCCACGTTGCCCCTGATACTATTCAAGGAATATCTGAAAATTTCGGAGATGCACAGAACAATACTACCACTGCTAATAAAAATAGTAAAAAAACTTAGTTTTCTAATATATTTGATATATTTTTATCTATTAAAAAAATATAATTAAGAATTTATTAAAACTATTACAGATTTTAACGACGAAATAAGGCCAAGCGTGAGCGAATTGGAAGAAATTATTGAAGAGCAAGTCAAAATAGACCCCTCTTTGGCGCATATAGCATGCGTGTTATCTACTACCTCTTGTTTCGCGCCTAGAGGGGCGGATGATATACTGGCAATAGGGATGATTTGCAGCAAACATTTGTTGCCACACGTTGTAAATAATGCCTACGGTCTCAACTCATCCAAAATCGTGGCCAAGATTAAGTGTTTTTTTCCTATCAATTAATTTTTTTAACAACATTTTTGCTTCTGGCTGCAATTAGTTGACAATCTGTCTGCGATGCGAAATTATGTAACATCAAAAAAATTATTGGCTCAATCATTAAGAAAATAACTCAAAGATTGCTCTAATTTCATGATAATCCTTTAAAAATAGCTTATTCTTCATTGTGGTTTGAATTATTTGCCATAAAATTAATGCCGAAAATGAAAGTCGGCATTTAATCTTTTATATGTTTTATCTCATTTCAATATTCTTTGCAAGCAGAGAAAATTTAATAAAATTTTAAATTTTTATGATATTCAAATTCCTCACTAGAATACAAAATGATGTGGGCCTTTTTTGTTTGATTTTAGCAAAATCGCGATATGATTATATAGCAAGTCGAATAAATGCAATCTTAGAATTGGTATTATTTTCTTTGATAAGAATAAGGTGGGAATGATAAGCAAAATTTATTATAAAAATTTAAATTAGGGATTAGTTAAATCGGCGCCAATATATAGCATCTTAATTTTAAAACATTATATTCATTTTTTTCTTTATATATTTATATTAATTAACCAGTCAGGTCATCAACAAAGGGGCCCGAATAGATTGTATGGTACAGAGCTGCGATAAGAATTTTATGGTGCCAGTAGGAGGGGCTATAGCTACTGATTTTACGTTAAAACCCACGGAAATAATTTTACACTCTAAGTCCAGCGAAAGTTTCTGTTCTCAGTTGGCGAAAGATTATCCTGGTAATAACAAGATTTTCAATGAGTTTAGGTAATGATCTTAAAATGAAGCTATATGATAATTGCTTGAAACTAAAATGCGTTACATACAATTTTCCGATTGGGTAGCTTCTTAAAGTGAAGTTTTATTTTCCAATGAATAAAGAAAGGAAGGAAAGTATCAAATATTATAAAAAATAAGTATTATTAATTTAAAACTTCTCAGTGGTATTAAATTTAATTACCATAACTTATAGTGTAGTTAAACGGCACGATTTGAGCCGATTTTTAAAAATGCTAACTCGATATTTTAGCCAAGAAAAATATTGCTAAAGTTTCGAGATTTCTCTAATAGATGTCCAAACCTTTGTGCCATCTAAGAGCGCTTGCGTAAATTTTTCTGGATGGCCGATTTTAAATATAAATCGAGCCGTTTAACTACACTGATAAGCAGAGTTGTTAAATACTGTATCTAGATATAAAAATGTAGTATCTGTATCTGTATCTGTATCTAGATAGATTTTTTAGAAAGATATCTGTATCTGTATCTAGATATTTTTTTAGAGGTATCTGTATCTGTTTTAGATAATTTTTAAGATACATTTTATATACCCCTTTTTTTATTGTAAATAAAAATATTTGACTGTAAAATTTATTTTATTTCATCTGTTTACCACTCTTAGATGCCTTACTTAAAGGGATTGAGGATAGGTAAATTAATATAATAAATTAAAAATATTTAATAATTCTAGGTTTATTGTGACCTTATTTGAAGATGATAATATTATAGCAACCATTCTCCACCCTTTTTTAAACTTGATTGGACATGGTTGCAAATGGAAGAAAATCTTAATAAAAAAACAATTGATACAAAGATAAGCTGGTGAATTATCAAAGTCATCAACTGACTACAAGCAAATAACCTGCCAAAAAAACAAATAATTTAATTTCAGATTTTTTTCAGTACCCTACAGCAGATATAATTTCTAATAATGATTTAAATTATGATAATCAACAAATTTTAAATAATTTTTTCAAAAATGAATGTAGAGATTTTAGCATTTTTAAAGAATACCCTGATATAAAATTGATATTTATTAAATATAACACTAACAATTCCTTCAAGCGCCTCTGTGGAAAGACTATTTAGTGTTGCTAAAAATGTCTTTACAGATAAACGAGGATGCCTAAATGATCAAAATTTTAAAAATATTTTATTACTGAAATCTAATAATTATTTATAATTATTTAATCATATATTTTCATATATTATATTAAAATCATTATTTTAGTTATATTCTGATAAATGTTATATCGCGTCAATAAATTTTTTAGCTCATTTCATGAATTTTCACAATATAATATTAATTTAGCTTTATGCAAACCTATAAGAGCATAATAAAAAAAAATGTATCTGTATCTTGATAACTTTTTAGACGCTGTATCTGTATCTAGATAACTTTTGAGACTATGTATCTGTATCTGTATCTAGATCCATTTAAAAAGTATCTTTTAACAACTCTGCTGATAAGTAATAATAACCAATTCTTACCTATAAAAATATTTTAAATTGATAAGTACGTTTATTGTTTTCCGTCTCTGTGAACTGCTCATGGACAAGATAGCACTGTATTCAAAATATATGTCCCATATATAGCCTGAAATTTATATTGATTTTTAAGCACGAACCCGGCTCTAATTATTTTAAATATTGAGCCCGACCAGACTTCGGACCGATTTTGTATTCATAGGCTTTTGTTTGAAAAATAATTTATATTCTGTTTTTTCTTCTCTTCCTTTATGTATGATTTTTTTTTTAAAAATATTAATTAAATCAAGGTAGAGCTTCTCTAACTCCCTCATTGGATATCTTTATTACCCTACTCTCCTTGGGGAGTCATAAATATTCCCAACTTTTCAAGGAACAAACCCAAAATTATTCGTATCTGAAAGCAGAAATGGAAAACTTGGCTAAATATTTCAACGAAAGAATACTGGAAACTCCTAACAATCCTATATCTATAGGTTCTTATAATATTATTTTTTTATGTTTGTGTTTCGTCGGTTAATTAATATATTCCTGAACCTCTACTTTAATTTTTAGCAAAAACAGGTTAGCGGAAAATTATTTAAGATCAAAGTCCCACCTGACCAATTAAGAATATCTCAGATTCTTGCAAAGCTTTAATTTATACGCTTGAGATTTTAACGATACGATACATCATATTGACATTTTTACATATACCTATAAAAACATATGTAGAAGAATTTATAAAAATATCATGGTCTCTTTTATTCTGTAAATGAAATATATTAAATTTAAAATGTTATAAAATTGAATCAAAATGTTAATTTTAATCCCCCCCCCCACACTTTTTTTTAAGAACACTGATCACTACTATAATTATTTTTAAAATTATATGATAATAAGCCATGACTTTGAACAATTTTATTGGACCCGAAAATAACGTTACTCAAATAGGCGCTATGATGTTTCAAAGGAGAATAACGGGAGCCAGGTATTTTTATATTTGAATTTAGGATGATCAATATGCTAGGTAGTTACGCTAGAAATATAAATTAATTAAATTACAGGTGTCTTGAATGATTAGGGATTCTTGTTTTAAAAAAAGTATTTTTTTCATAAAAATTATTTATCATAAAGGATTGTCGTACCCGGTCAAGACAAATCAATAGAAGGATACACTTTTCAAGGGTGGGGATCTCATATAAATGCGTATTCCAATTCATACATGACTGTGGCTTGTACTTTAAGCCTGACCAAACCCGTTATAGATGCATTTGTGAAGAAATTACAAAAAATATTGATCGAATATTCAAAAACATATTTGGGAAATGCAAAAATGTTATCAAAAAAAATATGAAAAATAATAGTTATATGTCCAATAAATTTCCGAATTTTTTAGATATAAGCTAAATAATTTTTAAGTAAATGAACGGAATTGGATAAGAAAATATACTTATTTCCTTCGATTTACCGAGTTAGAATAAAAGGCGAGGTTACAATTTAAAAAAAAATGGATAATATTAAATTGTAACCAGAGATCTATAAAATTCGTAATCGTACTATCGATACAATATCAACCTGGCCTAATATATTTTTTTTCATACTCTATATGCAATACAAAATGAATATTTTTAAATTGAACACATACACCACTATTAAATAATAATAAAATTGTAATTATAATTTAGACAAAATATCTTTAAAATATTTTTTTTTATATATAATATGGAAGTAATGGCGACACTTTTTTTTATCGAAATAATTAAACGACTTCAAAGGTTGTAAATTATAATTTATAAAATTAAACCCAGTTTTCAGTTCAAACGCTCAAAAACGATTCTTTTTTTTTTCTCATCATTTACAACCACATTTCTTAAAATGTTTAACTTGACAAATGTTAAATTAGCATTTCATCTCTTTGATTATGAATATTTATATATAATAGATGTAAAAAATAGTTTCAGACATTCACAATAATTTGGGCCTGGTCGATTTCTTTTGATTAAAACAGTTTGGAGTTATAGATTAAGTGACCAATGATATTTTTAAACAATCACTTTTTAATAATATACCAACAATAATAAAAATTTAGATTTTTTTTGATGAGAATTTTAATAGATTTTTATTTAAAATATTATATTTTTTTAAACCTTGAATATAATATAAAATTTAGATGTCCGAAATTGAAAATATTTTTTGGATGAGATTGCTAATAAATATTTTTAACATAAAACAATATAGAATTTTCTTTTAAACCTTAAAACAACATAAAATATTGAATATCTAAAATCGAAAATATTTATTTTATTAAAATACATCTGATTCCATCAACTGCACCCATTTAAAGCGCATTAAATATTTCTCCTTAAGCCATTTCCCTAACACGTTTCTTCAAAATGGTTTTCAAGGCATGTTTCTAGTAATTTTTTATTTTATTACCTAATAAAAAATAACAATTGGTTGATATTTTTTTTGTATAATATAATATTAGAAAAAACCTATGTTAGGAATTTCCCCAACATTTAATCTTTATAAAAATCAAACTGTTTAATAATCGCTTTGAAAAGACATTCTGTCTGGAAATTGTCTTAACAGATCAAAATTTGAAAAAAAAGAACAATTTATATAAATAATTCTTTCGTGTTAAAATCTAAACTAAATGGTAACAACTCAGAAAGAATTCAAAAAACAGACTATAAAATATGCTTCTAAAATTCCTGAGAAAATTAAGGAAATTAATAAAAATTTGTAAATGTTTACTGAAAACATGGAAATTTGTGAATTTTGCAATATTTATCGCATGCCAACTCTTCAAATGTTGCACTTTATATACATCCATGTAGCACCAGTCACGAAGCGTCAAATATACTTCTAGGTAAACAGTTATTTATTAATATTAAAATTTATAAATAAGTAGTCACTTTTGTTTTTTAAGTAAAATGTTAAAGTACTGAATTATAAAAGTAATTGTTAGGTTTTAAATTTTTCAATTGGAATTAATGATATAGATAATCGATTTTGATCCTTTCTCTACGATAAGTTGAAGTTAAAGATAAAAGTCTCATGAATTTAAAGAACTGAAACTTTTAATCAATTCATTCCGATATATAATAAAAATTCCAATATTATTTATCAATATTTTTAAATTGCCTTTAATTCGGTTTCCAGGATGTGTAAATTAAAATATTGTGAATAATCATTTAAATGATTACTAATAAATATTCGAATTAGGATAAAAAGTTTATAACTCTCTTTCCCGGCAACTGTTATTAACGTTTTAGTAATAATTTTAAGTGTTCAATGTTAATCATATCTATTATTATTCTTCGCAATGTTGTCAATCATAATATATTATCAGTTCCACTACTTATCTTTTTATATATACGAAATCATCAATTTTTATATATTCATTTCATGCAATATTTATATCACGTTAGTTATAATTGGTGTTAATCATATTGGATATTGATTATCGAATCGAATAAACTATTGATTATTATATCCCGCGTCTGATTTATTCAGGAAAGTAAGTAGATGAAGCGTTCCTAGAAGCAAGGAAGCATTACTTCCCTTGTAATTTTCTTAAAAAATTCTAAAATAAAATTGATAGAATCTTTATAAAAAATATTAATACTTCATTACCTAAATGAATACTATTTTTACTAGGTTATTATTTTACTACCTTAAAAATATTATTTATACTACTTTATTATTTGAATACCTTAAAAATTATTATTATTTTTACTACTTTAAAAGAATTAATAATATTTTTACTAAGTTAAAAAAATATACATGTGGGAAGTAAATACAGCGTCTACATGACAGAATTTTCACTGGATGCAAACCCCCTTCAAAAACCTTTGCTTACCCCCTTAAAAAATTCAAACCGGCTTCGGCGGCGATGTCTCTTTATCATTATTTTCACCTATCTATTTATTGATACTCTTTTCAAATAATTTATAAAGGATAACTTAAATTAATCAATCTCTACTACCAACTATCGATATTTTGTGAATATAAAGAATTTATTTTTTAGATAATAAATTTAATTAAAACCTCCATTATTTACAATGAATTAATTATTATGGCATTATGAGCTTGCTGAAATATCTAAACCTTTTAAATTATATTTAAAAGGATAGTTTATTTGGAAAACAATGTGTATGATTGTTTGCAATATATAGATTTGGTCGATGAATTGTATTATAATAATAGTATAATAAAAGTATTAATTTTTACAGCAATAAATTTTGTTATTTTTTCTCAAAATTTAATAGATAACCCCCCAAAAAATTTTATCCTACCCCCATTAAAACAGATTACCCCCTCAAAAAAATAGGCTGCAAACTGTTTCTACCCCTCCCGCTCATGTAGACGCTGAGTAAATATATTATACCTATTTTTAAAATAAATAAAGAGATAATCATACTCAGATATTGTGTAATACGTTTAAATAATAAAAGTTGGGGAAGCAAATAAAAAAATGCATAATTCTTTAATAAATAAAAGAGAAAGAAAATTTTTATTTTTTCTTTATAAAATATATCTTCCTTTTTAAAAAGTATAACTAATTTAAAATGTCTATTAATTAAAAATATGTTGTTGAAAATTTATTAAAAATATCATTAAGCTTAAAAAATTTCCTTCCTCATCAACCCTTTATTTTATGGGGTTCCGGATTTTTTTTTATTTTACTTCCCGTAAATGATTAGGTAGCAAACTCATTTTGTTTTAATTTAATGGAAATTTGCCTGTTCAATATATGTGAATCATCGTCTTCATAATTATTCCACGTAATTTTTTTTTCCAAGTTTGATGGTTTTTTTAAGAAAACCAAGCGTTGCTCTGTTATATATAACGCATGCTAAGCGTGTAATATCACGTTTCGTGTAAATTGATTGCCGAAAAAGACCAGAATCATTTTTACAAAACTTGAATAAAGAAATCAATTGCATTCGTAATTTTTCTAATAATATGAGTGGTTCGTAGGATATAATTTTTTTAATTCTAGGCATGCCTATTATTACTCCCAAAAAATATTTATAAATGATAAAGGACTTTGGAATATCAAATATTTTTCGATGACAATTAAACAGCATGAAGAATCAACTTTTTATTTGCAGTCGATGATTCAATTAAAAACATTTGGTGAAAAACGAATTGAAAGTATGATAGATTAGATGCGCAAAATATCTTGAAATTTTATTCAAAACAAAGTCCCGTTTATTTATTAATCTTAATTTAGTGAATGGTTGACTAATAAAAATAAAAAACATTTTTCAATGACTTCCCTAAACTTGGTTGTTCGCCACTCATTTTAAATAAATTTTTTACAATGCATTTTAAAATTATAATTAATCACTGTTTTAAAAAAATGGAGAGTTATTTTAATATAAAAAAAAAGAGTGTATTTATTTACTTCCCCAACATTTTTTATAAAAAAATATCACCATAACACAATTATCTTTTTATTTATTAAATGAGAATAAGTAATTTTATTTGTGTTCACTGTGCCATTTTTATTTATCATAAAATAGTAAATAATCCTTTTTTTAAATACAAAAAAAAATTATAGCCAAAACATATTTGGGAAATTTTCAAAACTATATAATAGAGTTTTAACATGTTTTCAGAAACAGTAGGTAAAAAAATATTCGCCAAAAAGATTTATGTTATTGAAATTTTTCTTTTATTTATTTAAAAAAATAAGAAATGTTAACTTGGCTCGACTTTTTTTTAAACAAAATTATTATATACATCTTTTTGAACTTAATTGTAATTGTGAATATGGTTCTTAATTAACATGTAAAAATAGCATTATAGTGTATATTATTTTTAAAGTAATATATCAATAATAATTATATTTAATAATTTCTTAAGAAAAGTTAGAAGGGAGACAATGCTTCAGTTGCTTCTATTAACAATACAGTTTCTAAATATTTTGTTAAATTATATTACTATTTTTAATTTAGATTAATAGATATATATTTGTCAATTAATTAGCAAAATATTTCCAAAAACGTAAAGAAAGCATCGGTGATTTTATGTATCTAATATATTTGTGGGAAATGTACATTGTTTCAACAAACCCTTTAATAATTTGTACCTATATAATTTTCGATAAATTTTATAAGTATCATTAACAAGGTTGTTAATTTGAATTCAGAAAATGCATGGAACTATTTCAAAATAAAGTTAACATTTTTAATAATCATAGCATTATTTTAAACTTTTTTGTATAAAATTTTAAATTTATATAAGTTATATTTTAGTTTTTTAAATAATTCTATCTTAAAAATCTTCTATATAGACAGTATTCTAAGTATTAGATATCTTAGGATATTTTAATATATTTTATTTTAATCTAATTTGCATTTTTCTTACAATTCAATAAATAAATGAAAACCAGTGATTAAACATATCAATCAAAGTTATCAATCAAATTATTTTCTTTATTAATTCTTACTATGGATAATGAAAATGTAAGTTCCAAATAAATTTGGCTAAGAATATTATAGTGCCTATTAGTAGAATCTTAAATTTATAGCATTGCTTATATAAAATTTTAAAGATGATTACTTTCTATAAATTTTTATTAGCATTAAGTATAATTAAATAATTGTTTAAATTTATATTATGAGTGAAATGGATACATATATTATATATTTTTTATTTGCTCTATTTAATACTTAGTAAAACTTTTGCAAATGAAATTTTTAATAAACATCTAGAATTTTTTAAGTTAATATTTTACCAAATCAATTTTTTTTTCACTATATCTAAAATTTTATATGCACTTAGCAACTCCATTCTTTTAATCAAATAACTATTATGAGCTTATATTGAAGCCTAACTGGCACCTAGTCTAAATTTATAATTAAATAATGATTTTTGACAAAATGCTTAAAGTATTACATATTGTTATCTTCAACAATACCTGTAGAAATACTATTTAACCTTTAAACACTAAGTAATTATAATAGAACACCAAAGAATTAAAATTGATACTTTAAAAAAAATTAATTATTATTTATATATATAAGTTAAAAAATATATACATGAATGCAGTTATTAACATCAATAATAATAATTTATATTTAATGAGTAATATTTTTCAAACAGAAAAAAACATTCTAATAAAGAATAAAATATTATAATGATAAAATGGCATACCTAGGATATATTCATCGAGTTTTGAAAATATTTTTGTAGGCTTTGGCCACAAACCCTCTTTTACCCTATATAAAATTCTATATATTATTGATTTTTCCATGATTATATCATCTCTGTTAAAATTGGCAGAATCGAAGTACTACTAAAATATGCCAATGTTTTATACTTCAAGTGTCAGACTTTAACCTATAGTGGCCATCATAAATAAAGAAATTATTAATGCAAAATTTTGGCTAATCTTACAATTAAAAAGAACTGTAAGGATCATTCCAAAAATTTTATCAATATCTCATATGAGTTTTGATATGTGCAATAACAGTGTCAACATATAGAATAAAAAATATACAAGATAGAAAATAATGGCAGCCTATTTTTAGAAATTTTATAAAAGTAGCAATGGTTTGTTAAGGCCATGGAATCATATTTTAATCCTCATGATAAAAAATCAAGTGTGATGCACTTTTAAAAACTCTAATAAATGAAAAGATAGGTACAAATTGAGCTCCCCCAATCAATTTTCCTTACTAAGTGAAACAAATTTTTTGTGTATTTTATTTAACAATGATTACCGATAACAAAGACCACAGTGTTTAGGAAGATATATCTTGTAACACATGTCATATATATATATACCTTTGCATATTTTTTTAAACCTTTGCATATTTTTTTAAAAAAATTTTAAAATTTAAAAAATTACAATATTGTATCTACTAAATGTAAAATATATATATTAATAAATTTGAAATTTATCTTATTTCGATTTTTTTCAACATTATAATATTATCTTCTTTTTTTACCCCTAATGATCAAAATTGCAGATATACAATGGTTCAGATTGCCTATTTAGGATGCTTTTTTTGATTTCTTAGTTAGACTAAAATTAATAAAATTTAAAAAAATCAAGAATTTTTATTTCTGGAAATAGTTTGACCATTAATGGGTTAATGTACTTGGAACATTTATTTAGACAGATAATGTTTTATTATTTATTTATTTAGTATTCTTTTGTTTTCCTATTAAAAATAATTAATTTTAACAAATTTAATTGTATTATTCTTTTGTTTCCTTGTGGATTTTTTTTTGTGAATACTAATTAATTTTAAAAATCCGATAGCGTTTCTTATTAATATTTGGAGTTATGTTCAATTAAGATGGAATAATAATTTTTTTTAGTATAAAAAATTTATATTAACTAAATATTTTAGTAATGCAAAATTGTTAGAAAGGCAGTATTTATTTATGATAATAAGAAAAGGAATTAGGAGTGTATATATTTATTTAAAGCTTGTCCTTATTTTTGTCGGAAATAGTGATAAATTTGACATGGAAATCAATAAAAGGATTTTTTAAAATGTTAACTTAGCTTAAATTTGAGCATTTATTGATTTCATTTAAAAAATAAAATAAAATCCTTCATGCGGAAGAATGTTTCTGCACCTCCCGAATTTCTCAATACCTCCTCCAAATTTTCTGGCGATTACTTTCTCATTCGCTTCCTCAAACTCTGTATAAAGATTACGATAGAGTCCTTCAATTTAGACTGAAGTCAGGCCCTAACCTAAAAATTGGGCTTGGCTCGGGCCTTAAAAATATAAATAATTTTTAAAATGAAAATATTTTCTCAAAAATAAAATGATAACTAGATTTAATCCTGTTAAGGACGAGTGTTGTTAAACTGCTAACCCTATATTTTAGCTAAAAATAGTATGTAAACCCGGATCCATAGATGGCGAATGGACATCTATTAACGCAGTTTCGAGGCTTACATAATATTTTTGGGTAAAATATTGGGTTAGCCATTTTTAAAAATCAAGTCGTTTAACAACAACTATTAAGGACAATACAATTTGTGATTTTTAATTTATCTTCATAAAAGACGCCTTTAATCTATATTATATTATAAATAAGGAAAAATTCCGGGTTCCAAATTTCATTTGCCTCGAGTGGTTTTAATTCTTGAATTTTTTTAAAATGACTTGATTTATTTATATTTTTGCCGAATTATATTAATATTTACCTTTATTTATGAGCTTTAGTATATACAGAAATAAATTATGTGTGTTTGGCTTACCTTATAAAAATATATTATATCTAAATTAGATAAACAAACAATTTCTATAATATAATGAATTCTAAACATATTTTGAGGTAAAATGAATATCTTGGAGCCTTAATTTAAAAAAAAATATTTTGAATTTTTCAAAAGTAAGAAAAAACAATTATATTTTTCATTTATGTACTTCCAAAAAAAATAACTTTTTTCTCCATGCCCCAAAACTTAATATGATTATTTTTCAAATTTATTTATATCAATGCTTATGTATCGATTATCGATTTGTAAAATATACTAAGTTATTGATTTTTCAACATTTCTTGGAAAGGGGAAAAAACCATTTTTATTATGATACAATATTGTACTCATAAGCTAATTTTGAATTTTTTCAATATATATGATATTATAGCTTATTTTAACTTCTAATTATAATAATTTTTTTGTGGTCCAATCATAATAAAAAAAAAGAGTTAATAGTTAAAATAAATACTGGTTCCACTTTTAGACCAAACAGCTTTTGAATTAGGGCACCCTATTTTGATTTGTTTTAAGTGTTTGGTGGCATTATTATTTTCCGTATTCTTTTTCTCGTTTCTTTTCATTTTTATTGTTGTGTTAAATTTTTTATTTTACAGGTTGTTGGTTTATTCGAAGCTAAATATTTGGCTAAACGCCCATTGTTTAATAATAAATCGAACCAGGAGATACCCTTAAGATTTAAAGATAAAGAATATTAAAATTATTAAAATTTAAAAATATTAATTAGGAAAAAAAATAAAAAATTAATTTCCCATTTTCAGACTTAATTTAGTATAAAAATATTAGTGCCCTGCGGTTAGTGTTGTTAAACGGCTCGTTTTGAGCCGATTTTTAAAAACGGCTAACTCAATATTTCATCCAGAAAAATACCACTCAAGCGAAGATTTTTCTCATAGAAGGAACATAGGTCTATACATATATTAACGAAATCTCGAGGCTTAGGAAATATTTTTCTGGCTAAAATATTGAGTTAGCCGTTTTAAAAAATCGGCTCAAAACGAGCCGTTTAACAACACTACCTGCGGTTGTCAAATTTTGTAAAGCTCAGGCTAATCTAATCCATTTAACCTGCCGGCATAATCCCCTAGTCTTATAGTGCGCACAAATTGAGCATTTGTTTTTTGCCATACTTCCATAAAAGAAAACGTAATGAATCCATTGCTTAAATTGAGGTTGCCTTTTTAGTAGCATCGACGATTCAAAGCGTTTTGTTCAAGCGTTATGATGTTTAACACAGAGTTATTACAAAATTAAGCCGACAAATTGGTATAAATTTATAAATATGGAGCGTTATGATGATAAAGTTTGAAAAACTATATTCCAATAAATGCATAATACCCACCCTAGACACTTTTATAATGAACTTTTATTCAATTTAAGGTATATTAAACTATCGCCTTACCAAAAAAAATATGCGTAAAAATTAACAACCAAAAAAATATTTAAAAAAAAATAATTAAAAAATAATCAATGGTAATTATGGTACCATAATCTTACCGAATTAAATTGGAAGGATTATTAAATTATTAATAATTTTCGACCCTTGGAGTGGTAAGGTGAGGTATATAATAATCACAATATATTCTTTAATTGTTATTTCAGTGGCCTCCTATTTATGCGTATCTTTATAAAAAGTTTATTCAATGAATCCAATTTTTAATATGTATTAAAGTGTTGCTAAGTCCAAATCATGTCCTGGCTTATAACTACTGTATATATTCTCCATAGAACATAGATAGCGTAGTTATCTTTGGGGAAAAACTTGTCAGGCCGAAGCTCGCTCAGTTTTCTCTATCTGAGTTTCTAGAGTTTGAGCCACTCCATAACAACGGATTTTTTGTATACAAAGTTACTTTACAACGTTTACTAATATAAATAAACTTAAAAAATCAATAAAGTTCGATGCCATATATTCCTTACCCTTTGAACTCTCATTACCCCTCATTCACAGAGCGTGAATTGTGACGAAGTATACAAAATATTCAGTTTTTCTTATTAATTCAAGGGTTAGGAGAAAAAAAATAGTCTAAAAATTAATATTTAATAATTTTTTTAAATATTCTTTTTTTAAAAACTCATTATTTTTTTTTTCAATTTTAAATATTCACATAGTTTAAAAAGTATATATTAAAACTTATAATTATTGGAAGAAAAAAAAAATTAAAAAAAAATATATATATTAAAAATTATATAAATATGGTTTTCAATAATTTTTAATTATCCATTATTACAATAATTTTTGCGATTTTGATTTATTATTTATTTTTTTTACCATCGTTACAAAATTTATGTTGAGATTTAAGAACGGTATATAAATATCAAAGCTTAATATAAATACAGAAGCGGGCTCAATATGTCTCATCTCGCCGTACCATTTACATATATTTAATTTGTCACCTTACCTTCTCAAGAGTAGTTAAATGAAGATTAGGAACAAACAATGTTAAAACGAATTGATAGAGTTGTAGATGATTTCCTATTTTATATTAAAACCCTTTTTGAAAATGAATAAAAAATTATAGCAAACAACAAATGCCAAATTTGGTCTATATAATATATCTGCACTTATTTTTTCATTTGATTTGGATATAGCCGTTAACAACAATAAAATATAGCAGAACGCGGAGCGGTAAAGAGAAAGTGGATATATATTTAAGAAATTTTTAGATACCGCGCTCTTCGCCATCTCCGATTTCAAAAAATTAATATCGATTTTCATTTTTAATAATTAATACAAATTCTTTTTTACAGTATATTTGTATATTATAATTATCGAACAAATTTTTACTAAATATATATTTTTTCTTTCTTATTTAAATATAAGTGAGAAATTAAAATACTATTGAATAAATAAATATATTTATAAGGATAATCTTAAAAAAAATCCCCTATATTAAAAATACTCATTCATTATAATTTAATTAATATAACATAATTTTAAGATTAACTGAAAAACATTAAAAAGAACTTAAAAAAAAGAAGATACCTATCACCCTAGAAAGGAGTAAAGACTTAGGAAATTGGACCGGCAGATTTCAAGAGAAATTTATTGACGTAATGATTTCTGCCTTATAAACTTGGTTATGTTGTAATGCTTGTATTTTGTATGTGGTATATACCGAAAATCTCGACATAGCCGACTTTTTAAAATCTAAATCAAGATTTTAACCAAAAAATATTACCTAAGACCTCGCAATTTCTCACTGCTTCCGAAGAGTCCAATCCTCTGTTATTAGGCGATGGAAAAAAATATTTTAAATGGCGCAAAATTTTGAACTTTTCTTAGAATTAAGAAGTATTTTTGAAAATTTTAAATGATTTCATGTCTAATGGTTTTTTCTGCCTGAGCTGCCTTATGTCCTATGGTAATTTTATCTGTCTAGGCCCGGACCTATGCCCTCTTTGGCCCTACTTTTTATAAAAGGGAATTAAGGAATATAGCTCAGTCTGTTAAACATTAAGTTTGAGTATTCGCAATAACACTCACATAATTTAATGATAGTTATGTATTTTATTATATTTATTACATAATATGATATTGGATAATATTTCCCACTTCTGATTTAAAGAAAAACTTTTATTGTTTTTTTTAATCGTTATATTCAATCAGTGGATGAATAGGAAGGAAATACTGCGGGTCGGCTCAGCAGTACTCCAGTTCTAACTCCATTTCATTTTAATCAATTTTACAAAAGAACCTTAAAAATATCCCATGACATCTTGTTACATAAAAGAATATTTTAAAATCAATTTTTAGATTTGAAAAAAAATATAATTGATGGAGGGGACCCCAAAATGATGAGATTTGACCTCGATTACTATTAAAGTGGAGCTAGAATCCTATAATATTTTAGAGATAATTTTTACATGGGATTTAAATATAAAATTGCTAGGTATACCAAAATTTTATCGGTATATACCAAAACTTTATCGGTGTACCAAAATTTTATCAGTAATTAATATTTAATAACTTTTTTTCCATTCCATCTATCAAATGACAATTTGTATGTTTCACATTTCTTATGCCCCAAATAATCATAATTAAATTCTGATTTCGTTCACTATAAGAATTTTATATAAATAACAAAATTTTATAATTTGAACACCGTACAAACTACGGAAATATATGATGGAATGTAGGTGCTTGCGATTTTTTAGTCATGGTGTCATAAAATGCACCATAAAATTGCACACTAAGATATATCTTTATAACGTATTTGTTCCAAAAATATTTCTTTTAATATCATCGAATATATCCTTTTTTTAGAAGCAAAAACATTTATCTATATTACTTATATAATCTGTGCATAAAATACTTCTTTTTTTTAAAAATATTTACTTCCAGAAAATCGCAGTTCAAACAAGCAAGGGCTTTCCCCTCAACGTATTTTTCCACGTAAGAAATATTTTGATTATAATTTATATGCACAAACATCCTCGAGGACTTAAATTTCGTGCCACATATCTAAGATTTTCTTAAGAATTAAAGTTCAATATATCAAAAAGTTTTTCTCTCCCGGAGAGCATAGTAGATTTAAGAAGGCTTTTTGATCCCTATTAGAGGTGGGCGTGGGTCATGAAATTAAGCGTGACAGGGTCGCGGCATGAGCGTGAATAAAATGTCAATTATTAGGCGTGACTGGTCTTCCCAAAAATTTTTCCAGGCTTGATTGGGCGTGAGCATAAATTTTTTGTTAATCACGGAAATTTTAATTTTTAAAATTGTCTATCTATGAATATAAATTTGAAATTTTATAATTATAATATATATTTTCTAGTTTAATATAATTCTTTTTGAGGAATAATTTTTGAAAACAAAATAAATTACGCATTTTATAAATAATATTTTTTCCTCGTCTTAAATTTCAATTGAATGAAAAATAATTTCAGCAATGGAAATTTATGTTTTATATTCATTTGTCTTTTTTATATACTAATCATTTGCGCTCAAATTATGATCAGTCAAAATTAAAAGGAAAATTAAATATCTTAATAACTTATCGTTTATTTTCTCATATTTACTTTAAATCTAAAAGATAATTGATGCAATTGCCTCACATGCTGTTTTAAATGTTGTGAATATAATTGCATTCAAAAATGATGAAAAAAATGCCATATATTAAATAATATAATGCATTATATTTTTGATAATTGCTTACCTGAAATAGCTTTAAGTATAAATGGTGTAAAAAAGATAGTGCAATATTTTAAGCAATCTGCAGCAAACAAGCTAAGACATTTTATTAAGCAACCTATAATGGGATAAAACTATGCATATATCATGATAAAAAGTTTCTTGAAATCATAATTTAACTTAACAAACAAGAATTAAATAGATTAGCTACCATTGATATAAATATCATACACTATTTAGATATTTTTCATCACTATTCAAAGAATGCTCAGATAATCTGAGAGCGCAGATTTTCATCCCACTATAAATGACAATGGAAAAGATCCCAGAAAATTATATTGTCAACAAAAATTAATAAAATTTTGCCATTTCAGCAGGCGATACAGTAATAATCAAAACCCTATGAAACAGGACAATATCTCTTTTATAGGAAAGATTTATTATGCAGTCACCACAAATTCTAATTTCAAACGTTTTAAGTTGTTACCAGACGACGAAAAGGCAGAATATAAAACTTAAAAAGTCCAAGTGATTTTTCGAAGATATGCATAAGACAATGCCAGACATCCTGTACACATATAAAATAGCATTATTGTAAATGAAACATTTAGAGATTTTTCGGCAGGCCACAACATCTATCGATGAAAGTTGTCAAGATGAACTTAAAGATTCGTCGTTCAAAAAACAAATAAATTAAATTATTTAGAAGTACGGGAAAATACATTTCCTTTTTTGAGAAAATTTGCTAGTAAAATTTTATTAGCCCTGGCAAGTTCGGCTTCCAGTGAAAGATTATTTTTTCTATAGCTAATCGCTTATTAGATGAAAGACGAACACAATTAAAATAAAAAAATGGACATTCTTTCTTTCTTTAAATAAAAATTTTGATCTTTAAACGATAATTATTTTGTTTGTTATTAATATAAAATTATAGAAATAACAAAAATTACATAAAAGTACCAATAAAATATTATGAAATTTAGAAGAAAAGTAAAAACCGCGAGTTTTCGGTCGTGAGTCCTTCGTGAGCGGGCGGGTCAAGTTAAAATCTTTCAGCAGAAAGCCTGAAAAGGCGTGAAATTTTTTCTGCCACCGTGAGCGGGCTAGCCGTGAAAAAAGTTAGGCCCTCGCTCGCCTCTAATCCCTATGGTTATTTATAATGCATTTTTAAAACTTTAAGTGTTTTTAATAAATATTTGAAAGAAAGAGAAGGAAAGATAAAAAAGGGAAAGAGGGGAACTTTATAAAATTGAAAAGTTATTATATCAAGTAGGAAATAGGGTGCTCTGCTGCTAAGTAAATTAAAATGTCCTTAAACTATTGTATCACTAGCGAACTCTAATTATTATGGGCTTAATTTTCTTAATCAGCGGAGTAGTTCTGCATTGAAACCTTCAATCATAATTACAATATGTGTCACAGTGTATTTTTCTTTTGAATAAAAGCTTATTTATTTCATGAATATTTTATTACGGATATTTTTAAGGAAAATATATTGCTATGTAGGGCTCGAACCATAAAAAAACAAATATTTTTTCCAAGCCCTATCCGTAAGTTAATACTTTGGACATATACCTTAATTATTAACGATTTAGGACCAATTAGGTACCCGACCGATATTAAAGGATTGAACTGAAGATCTGTATTAAATATAAAGGCAAGACAGAATACAGCTATATAATAAATCAAAAGACCGGATCGAATACCGATTGCAAAGATCAGGCGAAGTTCATTTAAAAAACTGGCCTCATATGAACAGTTGATATTTATTAATTTTAACTTAAAATTATATTAATTATTTTTTTTTTCACAAAGGGCCCCCAAGAAGATGTCAAGAAACACCCCGTAATACTCACTGTTCATGACATAGGAAGCAATCGTAAGTAACAATATTTCTTTCTTACAAATTCTTCGCTTCTAGTATATAAGTTTATCTTAGAATTTTTTTTAAAAAATCGCGGATATTCTCAGTCTTTGGAATTACAAGGCTGTTCAAATTTGATAGAACAAAAGTAAATAGCTGTTTATATTTGATACTCTAAAAGTATATTTAAATTGAAAATCTGTTTTCAGGTCAAACTTAATTCCGTATTTTTTTCAATTACTCTTATATGCTATTATCAATATTTATTTACCCAGCATTTAAAATTTTAATACATATCCTGATTCTGGCTGACTATTTTATAATAATTATTTTTCAATTTTAGCATAAATGCTTGGTTATTCTAAATTAATTAAATTATTTTTTATATAAACGAAAATTATATTTATAAACAGCATCTGAAATAATCATAGTTATCAACGGGATCAGATTAAAGAGGGTAGAAATAATCATGGAGATTTTTTTTATATAGGATCACCGCAACATAAAACATAATTTAATAATAATTTTAAATGCATACAAATAGAATAGGAGAATTGATTTAAACTGGTAATTTTTATTTAAAAAAATCATAAATTACAATCGCGATTTAAATTAATTTTATTTGATCTTGTCAATCTTATTATCTCTAACTTTTCAGATTTTTTAAAATTCATATAGGCTTTTCTTAAAAACTTATTAATCCAAAAAAAATATTTAACTATGGAGAAATATTTATTTAGAAAAATATATTCCTTCTCTTATCATGTATCTGTAAAATTTCTCACAACAGTGCAAAATTTATAAAGATTTTGATAACAATTGACTTGAAAAAAAATTTCAAAATCTTTTATTAAAATTTGCACTTTTATTTTTATTTTTTAGAATGGTAAAAATCAAATGAACTTGAGTAACAATTTGTTTAAAAGAATTTAGTCAATGGATTTAGCTGAGCATAGTTTGTTTACATTTTACAGTGTAGGTTCTTGCACTTTTTTTTAGTGGAACGAACATGTTTCGGTTCAAATTTATGGATGGGAGGGCTTTGCAACCATACCCCCCCCACTCCCCACACGTTTGGATTTTCAGCCTGGTTTATGTTCAAAGATTTATATCTTCTTGTATCAATTATATTTATATATAATGCATTTGATCCAAAACAATAAATGGGTTGACACCATTTAAATTTTTTCGAATAATCTTTATTATTTATGTGCCCTGCAAAATTGAGCAAAGCGTTCTTTTTTTACACCTTGAACGCTCACATTCCTACAACTCATAGAGCTAGAGAAAATAAAATTTAGATTGTAATTAATCCTTTAACAGCATACCTAACCATTATGAAAAATTTTAATTGATTTGTAAGATGTCTCCCCAACATTCTGATTTCACATAAAATGAGGAATGACTAGCATAAATTAAAAAAGATATAATTTTTTTTAGTCTACATTGAGCCCTTACAAATTTCTAAACTGATAAGAAATAAGTTCTAATTTTTTCCCTCCATTTTAATTTCATAAAGATGATAGATAAAAATGATAATTTTTATGAAATTATATCTTTATTTCAATATTATATTATAATAAAATTAAAATATAATTTTTGTATTAACGGCGTCAGTATCGGTACCAACTAAAAAAGAATAGTACCCGCGCGTCTTTGATTAATGTCCATTTTTTTTTGAAATTAACTTTTCATCTCTTCAAGTCCCATCATTTTAAAAGTTCCAAACATGTATATTTTTTATGATTTAAAGATACCAGTTTCCACCCATTCATATACCACTCGTCAATGCAGGAGGTCAGGAAAAGGGCATCCTTCATCGAAGTCGACATACTCGGGCAAGGAGAAAATGATCCAGCCTTGCCAACTCAAAAGTTATATTTTTTCAGAGCTAAAGCTCTAATTTATTTTTTTTTCGGTGGACCAGGCTGATATTTAAGTTACTTTGAAACGAATAGACGGGTTGTAAAGCTGTCTCAATATTTTGGGACTAAAATAAGTGAGGCCAATTAGTTATACCCCCCCCCCCCCCCCCAAGATACTATTAGAGTCCTAGACACGAGTAGGGGATATCTTTAAAATGATAGTAATGAGTATTTTAGCAGTGAATTAACCAATGCCCAATGAATGAGTTTATCAAAATAGGAAGGGAAATAACATGATTACAATCAGTTCTACCCTGATTGTCAATAAGACTAACATCGTTTGATTATGTGAAAATGAGATTATGGCTGCCAATTATAGGTGAGGTAGATTATAAATTGGAAAATGATGTGAATATAATAATGTATATTTAATGGTTAAAGATTTTTTTAAAGATCAAAATAATTTTTTAAAATATTTGTCATTACACAAAAATCACAAAAGATTTACTTATAAAAGATTTTTTACAAAAAAAGATTTGGAATTTTAGGTAAAATTTGATCGCGAAATTTGTTTGAGTGAGCATTCTCAAAAAAATCTTTCAAGATTTTTTATTTTGAAGAGCATTTAAAACTCTGATTAAAACTTCAACTAAGACTGAGGAAAAATTTGATAAAATAACAACTTAGCTTCTTTTTTTTAAAAACTTTAATATGTAATTTCATTAGTAAAATTTTTAAAAAAAATAATTCTATTTACTAGTTATCGATTTCCTTCTTTACAAGAATTGGGCGAATCTCTAGTATCAGTTTTAGACGCCTTCAAGTAAATTTGCTATTTTCTTGATAATTTCAGCACAATTTATTTATCCTCAAGATAATCGTTTTCGCAACTTGTTATTCTGATTTTTAAATTATGATTATATATTAAATTTTTTACCTTTAAATTACTATTTTAAATTTAATTAATCTCTTTGTTGCGAATAATTAAATGTAGGTAAAAAATATATTCAGATTTATGGTTAGAATATATGGAATTTGTAATATGAATGAAGTCCTTAATTTATTTAAATGCTATTATATTCTTATATACGATATAATAAATAAATATATAGTGTCCATTACGTCATAGGACTTGGAGAAGGTGCTGGTGCAAATATATTAGCTCGATTTGCGGTATGTATATTCGGATAACTAATATTTTAGGAATATTCTTACTTATATAGGGGCGTTATAGGTATTTTTTCACTGGAATCTCAGGAGGGGGGGGGCAGTGTAGCTTGATTGAATACGAATTTTACGGGTTCAATAGGGTTAAAAATTATTAATTAAAAAATTTTTTTAAGATTATTTCCTTCTATAAGCTATTATCAATATTTATATGCAGCATTCTACCACACTTACTCCCCTCCCCTTTTAATCCAATTTAATTTTATATAAATATTGTAGAATAAAAAATATGAAAATTTTATAATCCTTGTTGCTATTCACCCAATGGTGGGTGCATTGCCAAGAATATAAGGTTAGGTAAATGGATCAAAACATACAAAAACAAGGCTTTTACGCCTAAATAAAATATTGACGTTATTAAGAATAAATTCCTTATTGTTATCGTCCAGATGGATGACTTCTATCTCTATTACTTTTTGGAGTGGCTAACGGGGGGTCGCGATAGCTTTCATAAGAAGGTGTTTTTAAGAGGAATTCATATCATATTGTATTATATTTTAATAATTACACAATTATATTTGGTCACTAAAAAAATTTTTTATAGTAAATATAATTATATTTCCTTTTGTACAATCGAAATCGCGTTTAATTTAAATGAATTATAAAAATTATTTACCGCTATATTAAAGCACAAGATATTTTATCAATTGAGCTAAAACATTTGGGAAAAATTTCTTAGTGTTGAATCCTTTACCACATATGACTACTATTTAGTCACATACTGTTCTTTTTAACCTACTTTACTTCGTTGATGAATAATCAAAAGTTAACAATTTTCACAATAATATTATCATTTAAAAAATATAATAAAAATAAACAAGATATCCTTTTATTCAATCCCATTTCCGTTTTTCTATTAAAAAAAATTTTCTCATTTTTTTATTCCAATTTAATACATTTAACTAATTAGTTACTAATATGATTTCCTCTTCTTATAAATTTGCATCCGATTATATATTTTTAGAGGATAACGACGCTATTGATGGTGAGCATCAATTTTATAAGAATCGAAGGAATTTTTTCCCAAATCTTTCTAAATTGTCTAAAACTTTATGGAAAATTCACTTTGTCGGCCAGCTTGCCAATTAGAAATTCTTGTTATTCCATAAACCACTTTGATCAACCAAAAATCACATACGTTTTAAGCAATATATGTTAATGAAGTCCTACAATTCGGGCGTCAAATAGGGATTTTTTTGGGTTTTACCTATGATTTCGAACAGTATTCTCTGAATAAAAATGATTCTAATGATAAATTAACATCCTATCCCGATTTAGAGGTATCAACGCAAAAACTGCTTTATTTTATTTCATACCCGTGTGTAATGTATAAAAAAATGTATCATTATTCACCTGTTGTGATACACCTCATTATGGTCAAAATCAATTATCGATATATATGTAGATAAGGAACCCCTGTTAGTTTTTTCAAAAAGATACAAACCTTATGTAGTAAAGGGGCCTCTCTATTTAGCCTATTTAAAATTAATATTTTAGCTAAAATAATATTACATAAGCCTCGAGATTTTCTTTTATAGATGTTTAAACCTTACTGCCATCTATGAGCAAAATCTTCATACTTGCATAATATTTTTTTACATTATTTAGTATTTTTTTAAAACTTAAATGTGAAAATAAATGTATTTTATTTTAATATACTTTATTTATAGATGGCCTACCCGGTTAGATGTATGGGCCTTTGTCTCATCCATTGCACGTCTACTACGGCCGGTGTCATGGAATACTTCAAAGATAAAGTAATGAGTTTTATGTTTATAAATTCGGCCTAGTGAAACAAATTTGTTAAGCATTGAGACACGAATTTATTTATGCTTTTTTCAAAGTTGAACTAATTTTCAAAAAAAAGAACCCGTGACTATGTGGGACCAAAATAGGTTTAGCCGTTTTTTCAGGCTTAGGATTTAACTATACATTTTTTTGTAATTCTGGTTAATTATTAATTACAAAAGTTGACCATTGCTAATGTAAAATGTTGTTAAAAGATAATAAAAATGCCTAAAAATTTCATTTTAAAAAGTAATGCTTTGCTTATTCTTTCTGGTTATCTGCTAAGGAAAATAAAGCAAGTTCATGCTTAAAAACGAATTTCTTAAATATTTTTAAAATGACTTTTTATTCTTCGGTCTACCATTCAATTTTTTTTTTACATAGATAATATCATGGAAACTAGATAGTGGAATGAACCCCACCGCAGAGCAATATTTGATATTCCACAAATTTGGATCGGTAAATAATAATATTTATTTAAATAAATATTAATTTTGCATTTGGTATATTATTAATGTTATGAGATAGCGCGAAGAGAAAGTCCAAAGATATGTGATGATATCTCTATTTTATCCAATCAAAAATTATTTTTAAGCATTTATGGAGCCATTAGAATTCTCTTTAAAAAATATATCGAGAGAAAAGGAAAATTAGTCCTTAGAATATTGAATATAAAAATAAACCTGTGCACCGATGTATTATTTTGCGGCAATGCATTGGCCCACCTATAAAACAACATTTATGATAAACAGTTTAAATTTGTTTGTATAGTATTGCCAACAAAATTAAGCATAATAATCAAAATATGAGGTTTACTACTAGGGAAGCAATTGACTTTATTTTTACTAATTAGATTATACAAAATATCAAGATTTACGAATGAGTGGAATTCGTCTTTGTTTTTAGTAAAATACTAAAATTGTTATATTTTAAACCTTTTAATAGCTTTTTTCAAATGAAATATAAATTGGATAATCGATAAAATTATGATTCCTTTTATGTATTAAAATCCCGACTCTAAACTTGCCGTTGTTGAGGCCAAAGTTAGGTACAAATTTTTTGCTTTATTTTTCAAGTTTTGTAAAGTTTGATGTCGGTCCTTTTTTTGAAAAATCATAAAAAAAAAAATTTTCACTTTTATTTATTAATAAAATAACATTTTTTTAAAATTTGTTGTAAAATTTGTACAAATACATACGCTTATCTTTTTTTTGTTAAATCTTTTTTTTTAAATAATAAAAAGAAATGACACCAATAATATATCGTATGACCCTGCAATAACAGTTAGCGCGAATTCGCGGCAAAGTATACAAAGAAAGAATGAAAGAAAAAAGAAAGCTCATCTTTTCTCTTCTCTTGTATTCTTCTCCACGAATTCGCGCTAACTGGAAACGCAGAGATAGCCATATGCATGATTTATTTTTTATTATAAAAAATTAGCAATTAAAAATTTGCTTCCCACATGTAGTTTTTTTTATAACATATTAAAAATAATTGGCATATAAATTATGAAAAATTGCTAAGGGAAGCAATTTTATTTTAAAAAAATCAAAAATTTCAAATATACATTTTATTTTTCCTTTTTTTTTCTCAGGAAATCGAAGCCCAAGATAGCAAAGAAGGCAGGGAAGAGCTTATACAGAGTTATGCTGAAGCTCTCAAAAAGCGGATCAATCCACAAAATTTGAGATATTTTCTGGAATCATTTCTAAAGTTTTAAAATTGAAAGAAAAAAAATTACTTTTAGCCAGAACTTGGAACCTGGATTAACATTTGTTCCGGTCTCGAATATTTTTCAATAAAGGGGGGGGGTTCTGTGGATTTTAAATATTTTTAAAGGTCGATTCTTAATTTGATCCGAATCCGACAAACTGTCGGAAGAAAAGAAGTTCGAAAATTTAAAAACGGAATAAACCCTCTAAATAACAGAGACCTACTTTTTGACAATATACATTTTACATTTTTAAATTAATTGTGATATTTAAAGGAGGTTCCACTCCAGTTATTTATAAAAGCGAGTTCCGGTTATGTCCAGAGTTCAAAAAAATCTTTTTGCGATTTTCTAAAAAAATATTTTAAAAGTTATTAATCATTTATATTTGTATTTTATTTGTTTTTTTTTAAATTTAGCCGCACAGATATATCCACGAGGTTGGAAAAGGATTTGACGTAATTTTTTATTAATATAAAAATAATATAATTACCCGTGTTATTTATCTTTAAATTATTCGCTAGTCGAATGGCTTGCTTATCTCTTAGTATTTATATTAGGCGCCATGCCGATCACAGTTTTGTTTCTCTCCAGTAAAACAGGATTATGCAAATTTATACTATTTAATAAAAATATTTGTTTTTCTTTTTTTTTTTAAAAAAAGCGTCGATTGTTTATTGGTCACCGCGACGAAGGGCTCTCATTTACATACCATTCATACAATGCATTCATTTATGAACAAGCAAAAATCTTCCTTGCTTCAAATCAACGAAGTGGGAGACGTTATTAATGAAGCGGTAAATCCTTTATAATTGTATAAGCCATTTAAATGATTGATATGTCATTAATTTTTTTTTATATAAGGTACTAACGAACAATAGAGATCTGCAATAGGCGGGTTTTATAGAGCCTGCCCACATATGGTTTTTAAATTTTTTTTAGTTGCCCATCCACTTAGTTTTATAAAAAGATTACTCAACTCGCCCACCCAATTTTTCGATATTATTGTTGTGATTTGGCTTTTTATTTAATTTTAATATATTTTTACTTAAACTTTTAAAATAAATGTAATACTATGAAATTTTATTTCCTTTTAAATATAATTATAAACTCGTGTTCTATTGAATTCTCCCGAAAAATATATCTACGTTCACCAGTCCGCTTGCACGTTGTTAAAAATTTTTAATCCGCCGGCCCACATTTGCCCAAAGTATGAACGAGTTGGCTAAATACCCCCATATTGCAAACTTATATTACACAGTTAAAGCCTTTAATTAGGTGGGTTGATTATCCCATCCAAATACTCTTCCATATCCCTTCATGATTGAGGAATCGTTATAATGTTAACCATGGTCTTGGTTATCACTATCTTACTCCATATCCAAACAATTATTCTAAATAAATCTTAACCTTAATATTGGTCAGATATTCACATTTTTAATTTTCCTCATTCTTTTATTCCCTCTTATATTCATATTAGTCACAACCTACATAATTCTCTTATTTTCTTTCCCAGTAGACCAAACCATACCATATTTATCAAATACCAGCTTCAGTTAGATAGTGTAAAATATAAAAAATACGTCTTTAACAACCACTGACTTTTATTCAATTACTGCTAAATATATATTTTTTTTAAAAAGCAATTAACAATTAATTTTAGTCTGAGCGGTAAAAAAACAAAAATTAAACAATTAATTTTATTCAAACCTATATTTAAAAAACAAAACTTAATTGATATTTTTTAACACAATAAACAGATAGATAGAATGGTAGATAGAAAGAAAGAGAGATAGAAATAAAAATTACATAAACTTCTAATATCAAAAAATATATAATATTTATTTCTTAAAATTAATGCATTTTAGCCTGAAAAATTAGCCGAAGGATTCATATTCTTTTTGAAAGGAACCGGATACAGTAATATACTTTTTTTTAAAATCTTGTGAATATCATATCCCACAATTAATGATTCTATAAAAATTATTGGTAGTTTCACAAAATAATAGGACCAATCGGAATATTAAGAAATAATGTTTTGGAGATCCGATAATATTTAATAAAGTATTTTAATTTTTATTTCTATAAAGACCATCAGCTACATTGTGACTTTTTTAAAATAAACCTATTAGTTTCTTACCGCCATATAATATTAGAACCAGAAAATTAAGTTTCCTCTATTTGGGCTACCCATCTCATCATCAGCCATTCCTCGCTTAAAGCTTTTTCGGCTCTTGTCCTCAGCACAACTAATCAACCCATAGCTACCATTCACAAACTATTGCTGATGTACATACTGGCCCAACAGTCCCTACCTCTATTGGTGCAGATAGTTCGACGTTTGATCTAACCGACTCTACACATGTAGAAATGTTTTTAACAACGCCAAAACCATTCGTTATATCCCGACTACCTAAGGACTTCAAGTTGTTAGACACCTGTCCAAAAAATTGATTTCCTTGTTAGTTATATTCTTCAATAAATCACTGGCTAGACTTCCTGTCATTTTCCTTCAAGACCTTGCAAATCCCCGATCCTGCTAGTAAAAAATCACTGACACGCAAATTAGGGATACCACACCTATTAATCATATTTCTACATCCTTTAAAATTCATTACATGAATAAAAATAAGAATTAAAAAAATGTCCTGCTCATGCTCACCAAGGTCAGATTAATATCTTAAAAACTCGATATGAATTTTAAATCCGCCATACGTTCGCAACTTCTGACAAGCTGGCTCCCTACGACCAATCAACTTATCAGACCATTCTCCTACTGTTCATATGATATTAAAGATGATCTACTGTCTTACCCTGAGGCTCCTCTACTTGCAGCCAATTATACTACAAGCGACGTTAGAAAGGTCATCCTCTCCTTAAACGCGGTTCCTCACCTGGATTTGACTGGTTTCACTCAATATCACTACAGGATCTAACCGCAGCTTACATCACATAATAATGCGATATTTTGGGAAATATCTAACTCCTCAACCGTATGCTTATCGGAGGCATACCACCCATTATTTGTTCACGATATTCAGTTATATCTGCCCAAATCATTTAGGGGTCAACATGAAAGGTGAATGTGAGGTATCCCATCACATGACCCGGATGTAATTACAAACAAACACCAGTGACGATATCCTGATTAAAACAGACTTTTCAAAATCCTTTAACTCTAAGACATATCGCGTTCCTAAATCCTATCCTCACCCTCTACCCAGAATATTCGCAATTTATCTTGATACTAGTCCTTTACACCTTAAATTTAGAGATAGGTTGATTCCTTCTAACGAAAGAATACAACAAGTCGACCCTCTGGGTTCATTTTTTCTCTACCTAGGCATTAATAGCCTGATACGATATAAAAGACCAGTGCAAGCTTAATCTTCATAATTGGTATATCGAAGATCACACTTAGCGGCCCCCCGGAAGAAGTTATGAAGGCAATTAATATATTAAAATCCAGCTAGGGGACTGCGAATTAATCCAGAATAGAGAGCCCACTTGGGATAATTGACTTTAACCACAATTTTATGTTCAATCATACTCAATTGAACTATTTGACACATCTCGGATCTCTGGTATGTAAAGACGAGTCCTTCAAGTTCCTTGCCAACATTTAACGGGAGATATCCCTCACACGCATACATTATCGTGTCTCCAAGCCCACTAAGCTTCCTTTTTTGGAACTACCTTCTGATTTCTAGAATTTTATATATACTTCTGAATCTCGCGAATCTTCCGATATCATTCCTCACAGAAGAGATACACAATCTTAAATTTGTGGATCTATCTTGGTTATAGGCTATCACCAACCAAATCTGGTGGTATTGGCATAAGGCCGCCGTCACTAATTTACATTAGCGCGTTTATATCTTCCTGCCTATCATGCGAGCATACACACACCCACAAAACATCCTGACCCCTTGCTTCTGCAGGAAACCGATCTCTAAAAAGCTGAAGGATATTATTTATATTATAGTCAATTAAAAAAATGCTGTTTAGTTGTTATAATTTAGAAACTAGGCATCAAAGCTAATTGGATATAAATTTTGGATTGGACAATTAAGGACTCTATTGAGCAAGGAATTCCAGGTCGTAATTAGCAATAACATTAGTTCATTATTCGAAATATATTTTAGAATATTTTAATAGTTTTGACTATACAACGAAAGCTATTAATTATTTTTTGAAGTCTATCGAAATTGCCAACAGTGTTACACAATCTCATATAGACTTCTCTTCTTATCAAAATGACAAAATTTATATTTTATTATACAAAACAGACTATTTAAATATAGATAACAAATAAGTTTATAATACGTTGGTATATACCCTTCATAATGTTTTAGCATACTTATGATAAAATTGGTAATATGAATTTTTCCATACATGAAATTGAATATTCCATTAGCGGGATTAAAGAGATCAAACATATTTACTTAGTGAGATTGAAGTACTTATTATATCTTATGAGAAACAACCGCTAAGCGCCTTTATTTTAGAAATGGATGAAGACCTTGTTACATTTTACATAAATATATGGATGCTATTCCCTAAATAAATTTATGCCACTTGAATCTGAGAAGAAATGCTCAAAAATACCACTATTTTAAAAAACGGAGAACACGTAGATCCGGCAATTCCTTCTTTCTTTAGCATAATACTTATTGGCATACATAATTCTTATTTCTTATATATAGCAAGTATATAATATAACAAAATTACTTTCTAATTAATTATCTTTTCTTAATATCATAGAGTCACAATATGTAGCATCTTTCAAATTACTAACTTTTCCATAAATGTCCATTCTAATTGAAAATTAAAAATGAGGTGAATTTTTAAAATATATAATTTTTTCCTAAGATGTGTACGACATTATATTTATGTCTATTTTCAATCTCACAAAGTTCCTGCCTTGCCAATGCCGCACTCTCAACATGGTAGGGCCTCGCGTATTTCCATGGTAGATGCAGATAAGCCCGATATGCGACGTTATTCTAGGGACGAACTTAATTTATAGAATAAAAAAAGGAATAACTGCAATTTTTTAGAGGAAAAAAAAAACTTTTACAGATCAAAGAGAAACAAAAAATTTTTGAAATTATAAACAATCATTTTTTTTAAAAAAAATATATTATTGTAAATTCCTTTATTCAAGAAAAAAGGCCTTAATTTTATTTATGGAAGATTTTTAGATAACATGCTATCTCAATAATCTTATATTTTATAATTTTTATCTAAAAAAAATCTACTTTTTAACTCAATATCGAATAAATCAATAATTCATAATATTTATAACACTACCTTATGAAATTAGGGGCATTTCTGCCTCGCGCACCTATTTTATGCATTAAACATTAAAATTTATGGTGCACAATTTTTATTATAAAAATAATCCTTTACTTCTTTTGTTTTTATGAATGTAGTTTTATTAAATCATAATATTTCTTTTGCATATCCACCCATTTCAAAAACATACTCATCGATTTTGAAATATTTATTTTAATCTTTTTTTTTAAAATTATATATTATAATATATTCGTAATTTTTTTTCCCCAAAAATTTATTTTAATTCGATAGATTTATTGGCATTTATATAGTTATATATTTTTTTAAATCAGCAAATAAATAATTACCTACCAATCAGGGAAGGGAAGAGAGAGCAGAATTAAATCGCAAAAATAGTATACTAAGTTTTTTTTATTTATTTTTTATTGTCCATAATTTAAATGCACTTTGAATACAATGTTTCTCCCATCACTCTTGTAATTTTTGTGACTACCATGCAAAATGTTCTTGTATTAAGCTATAATATTTATACTGGAGTAAGGGAGGGGGGGGGGGTTAAAAATTTATCTCCTATTCTCTTTAATTTAAAAAAATATTTTAAATAATTATAATTTGTCTGTTAATTGTAAGTTAAATTTTTTAAAATCAATTTAATTTAATTCCCTACTTAATAGCCTCTCTTCTCTCGATATTCTTATGTGTATTTTTAAATTTATTTATGGATCAATATAATTTTTAAAAAGTATTATATCTTATCAATAATAGATTAAATTTTACGTTTATTTTCGTTTATCTTGTACGACCGGGAAATTTGCCAAGATTATAATATGATTTTTGTTTATTTAATTTATTTTAAACATATTTTATTAAAGTTATATATATTTAAATTTAATTAGCGCATTTGTAATTTCCATAATTGTTTTTGATGATGAATAAATAATTTAAAAAAAGAAAGATATTTCCATTTATTTGGATAATTAATTCCTTAAAAAAAATTTATTTAATCAATATACATATTTTTAATAGATTATCTTTGTTGATTGAAAAACATCGGTATGGTATCAAAAATACAATGTATTTCAAGATTGAATGTATATAATATCCAGTTTTCATTCATTCAAATTCTAAAGTATAATCGTTGAATTACAATAATAGAATATTAATAAAAATTCTATTCAAATCGGCTAAATTTTAAATAATATAGCATAAAATGAAATTACCTTAAAGGCATACTAATAAATTTATACCTTTGAATAAATTTAACTTCTATTTATGATTATAAAACTTTTTTACCCGGTCGAAGCTAGGAGTTTTGTAAAAAATATTTATTCGGTAAAAAAAATTATATCCAGTATATCTACTTACATTTTTTCTATCATTTAAAAATTTATAGAATGTTTTGTCATAAAAGTAAATATTTCCAGATTTCTATGTTTTGGTTAGGATTTTGGGTTAAAATCTATTGATAACAAAAAAACAATTTGCGCTCTGGCCAAGTAGGATAGATTAATAATTAAAAAAATTATGACCTTTTTTGGGGCTTTCCTCAATTCAGAATTATGATTTTATAAACTGATTCATAAAGGAAATTGGAGGTATCAAATATTGCTAAGTAGAAGAAAAAGACGTAAATAAATTGAGTTTGATAGGATAGCATGTTATTAGAATCCTAATTATAAAAATGGCTTAAAGGAAGGTAAAACTTGTATTATATAAAATATTTTTAAAATATATTGGCAAAGTAAAACATCAACTTTATAATATGGACGAGAGTAACACGTTAATATCAGTAAATAAAGGAAAAAATTTTGGTCCTACTATAATTAATTTATGGACGAAATTAATAATGAAGTTTGTATAGAGAATATGTAAGAGTTCATTGTTTTTCGTCAAATGTTTTGGAGATAGGACAATTTGTTTACATATCACGATAAGGTTATCTATTGCCCTAAATATTCTATCTATTTCGGAAATAATATTTTATTCCAAAAATTATTTCATACACGTTTCGTTTATTCTATTCATAGAAAATAAAATTTTCATGTTATTAAATAAGTTACGGCTATTTCAAATAAAAGTAGACTAAAATTCTAGTCAATTAATGATTAGAATTTAAAAATCATTGCTAGATTAATTTGTTGTGGTAGATAGAGGGTTGGAATTGATTGACAAAATTGTAAATATTAATAATTTTGAAGTTGCAAACATTTAAATATGTCAGATTATAGATTTCAAATTCTGGATCGATTAATGAATTGTGAAAGAAGGCTTTTTTTTCTATAATGTAGAAACAATTTGAGCCCTTTTGAAAGTTTTGTTTATCGATTTTAGTCATTACTTTGAATAGAAAATGTTTCTGTTCTAAATATTTTTAAAATGGGGGTTACATTTAAAATTTAAAAAAAGGGGTTTTAGATATTTTAAAATGGGTTATAATTTTGTTTTCTACAGGAGAGGAAATTCAGGTCCTATTCTCGGTTCTGAAATTTCATGTTGGATTCTCCACTAGATGTCTCAGTATGTAAAAGTAAATGAGATAAAAGAAATATAAGGATTTTGACATAACGTTTATTTTTTGTTGCATTAAAATAAATTATATGAAAGGTAAAATAATAATGAATTCTTTCAGGGGCGTCACTAGCTTTTACAATCTCAGAGGGGCTTGAAAAAATTTTTGTAAAATATTTAACCTTTTTTTTTTAGCTAACATCATTATCTAAAATTACCTCTTTTTTTAAGCTAACTTAACTATTTATTAGTGGTATAAAAAAAATTTAAAATTTGAGGGGGCTTGAGCCCCTGCGTTCGCTCTTCCTCTAGTGATGTTACTGATTTCTTTATAATATTATCATGGAATGTGTTCAACAATTCTTGTATCTGTACTTTTTATAATCCATAAAAAATATTTGATTTAGAATGTTAATCATTCTTTTAAAATGATAATAATAAAATATAATGAACAATTACCATAGTTAAACAGCATAATAAACAACAAATAATACATAAATAATGGAGAAAATATTACGTTCGAATATTTAATCTTGAATAATGAAATACCCTAGCTAAACGGTCTTGTCTTATTCATCGGAAAAAAATAGATATTAATATCTTAAAGGCACGGACAGAGTTATCTTCATCATATATCATAATTATAAAATTTAATTAAATGCTAATTATATTTTCATATTTTATTTCATCGTTTTATCTTTGATAAATAAATTTGCTCGAATTCTTACAGCTTACCAAAATATTTTGAACTATTAATTAAGCTTCTATAATAACAATTAGATAGACAATATATACAATACATTCTTCGATGTTACTTTAATTTAAGCTAAAGATCTCACTGAAATGATCAAAAATTATAAATTTATATGGATTGTTTCTGATTAAAATTATTATATTCTTCTTTTATTAAAATGAGATTATAATTCGATAAACTTATATGTATTATGATGAATTCTCAGAGGTTAGCCAATTTTCCAAATATCTTAGTAACTTAAATATTTTTTATATAAAATATTATATTGAACTGAAAAGAATAAAAATTAATATTTATTATCAAAATTAATTATTAAAGTATTAATTCAATTGGGGTCTAAACCATGTACAGTATTTTATTTAAACCAAAATTAATGAAAGCTTTGTCAAATATAATAATATTGTAGTCAAATGTTTTCTATATTTTAAATTAATAATAGTGTGATCAATTATTTATAAAAGTACTTTGTTGTATTTTGGGGTTATTCATGAAATTTAACAAGGTTCCAAAGATATAAGCGACAAATACGTCCTAAGTAGAATATGGTAAAGAGAGGTAAGCTGGGAAAACTTTGATTAATATTTAGGAAAATTGTCTTCGAAAGGGTGGTGACTATCATTTTTTTCCCTTTAGTTGACCCTGATGGTGAGTGACAATTTTTTTCGTGCATTTCGATCGAAGAAATTCCATTGTTTTGATCACTTTTTGTAATTTTTAATAATAATGAATCAAGTTAATAAATAAAAAAAATATCCATTATTATAAAATAAGTAATTGGTGCTAAAATAAATTGTACAACATTTTAGACTATATGATATATATTACTTGCACTCCATTTCATAGTTCCGTTTCAAAGATTTCTCTCTGTTCCTGAGAATTATGTTTCCGGTCCCAAGCTCTGCTCCGAGGACAAAAAGAATAAGGGGTAGAATTCCTAAACTTAGATTATTTTATAACATAAATGTCATATTTTTTTATCTAATAATATGTTTAAAACATTTGCCCTTCAATTTTTATTTAATTAAGAGCTATTCAAACTAAAATACTATATCTATCATTAATATAGTAAATCCTAGTGTTAGCCGATTTATAAAAAAGGCTAGCTCAATATTTTATCCAGAAAAATTTTACGCAATCTCGGAGATTTTGCTCATAGATGGCAAAAAAGTTTGGACATAATAGGCTGGGGCAATATTATTTGGGATAAAATTTTGTGTTGGCCGTTTTTAAAAATAGACTCAAATCGAACCTTTTAACAACACTAGTGAATTCAAAAATTTATTTATGATTTGATCAAATTACAAATAAATAATGCAGATATCAAAAACAAAGGAGTTACAAAATCTTTGTTGTAGAAATAGATAGCCATAGATCAGAGATAAAGAAACTTAATTAACATTGGGAAAAAAATATATAGATATTGAAAATGAGCCAGAGTGCCAGGACGGATTTAATATTATATTATATACCCGAGATCCTCAAACGCCTTTTAATATTTTAAAAAATTATTTAAAAGTAAATGGTAAATTTTTTCGATATTTTTTTGGTAACCTTCTAATAAATATCATATCTTTTTTAAAATTTCATAAATTATTTATTTATTTTTTGAAAAATCATTAAGGACACACAAAAATATGATAATTACTAATTGGAAAATAATGATAATAAATATTTTATTATCTAAAATTAATAGTAAGTTATTTTTTTAAAAAAATAAGGTGGTTCTTTTCAACATTTGTCTAATTAATTCTGTCAAAAAATTTATTTCTAAATCATATTTTCTTTTAAATAAAATAAAATAATATTTCAACCAATTTTTTTGTTGTTGTTTGAATCGAGTTTATTATACACCGATGCCGCAACTATTAAAATGTTTTGGGATCTATCTCCTACCCCGCTCCAATACATTTCTGCTCCCCTTCTATCCCCTAAAGGAAAAATCGTAATTGTGTAATGTATATTAGATATTTCGATAAATTATAGACTAAATAAAAAGATGTTTGAATTTGCAGTGCCCTGCTTGCGGGCGGCCATCCTTACTTATTAAATATGCTTCTAATGTGTTTGTCAATTAAAAAAAAAATTTCTTCTAAAAATGTTTAATTAAGAAATGTAAATCATCAAAATTTTTATTACGTTAAAACCACCTTAAGGTGACTACATATTGTTCGTTTTGGACATCATGGAAATATAGTACATTGAAGATTTTGATAAACATTCAATAAGGTTTAGGCAGAAATGAGCCAATTTTAAATGATTAGAATAAGCAGTTAGAATAGCTTTATATTGTAGTATATCTGGGTATATTCTATTTTGATTAATGTAGTATTTCATCCTCTCTATTAGATGTTTTATCATTTCTAAACAAAGTAGTTTCGCCTCTTTTAAGAATTCTAACATATCTATTTTAAATAAATCTCATAATCATTTGGTAGGGACTCGGATCAAAAACAACATTTTTGAAGTTTGATATTTTTTTTGAAGCCAAAAGTGACCCCAAAACCACGATACTAAATGAAAACCGACTTTTTAAAATGAGTTAATAATTAGCAAATCAAAAACAGCCTAATTTTTTTATAAAAATAAAATTGTTATCTGTATATATATAGATTACAAGTTTTTTTTAATATCAATAATGGAATAAAAAAAATATATATACATAAAATAATATTGATCCATAATATTTATTGATTTTAAAGTCTACTAACGTGATAAAAATATATTTTAAATGCCTTTCACATTTAAAAAATATATAAAAAACCGTTATGAAAAAAAAAAAATTATAAGCCATCTCTAACTGGTAAATTATGTCGTTTTTTTTTCATGGTCAAAAAAAATGAAGTCTATTTTAAAAATAAATAATTTTCATAAAATATTGTAAAATTTATTATAATTTTTTTTATAAAATCATTTTCAAATTTTTTTTTTTTACATTTTGATAATTTTAGAAAATTTTTTTTTAAAAAAATAGATTTGAAATAATGTGATTAATAAAATAAATAACATTAATAATGGGAACCTTGTCCAGCTTGAAAAGCGATTCTGTTCTAACTATATTCTTATATATAGTGTTTACGTCTTTTTTCATACCCAAATGTGATTCATTATTTGCGGATCGAGATATCGACCACGATAGAAATCGCGGATCTAATCTCGACGAAGAAGTTACCTCGATTAACAATATAAATATTAACCCTGAACCCTTTTTCCCACTATCCTACCACTTTGGAAAAGAGGGTGACACTGCCCAACAACTAGAACTTGGATTCGAAGAACAGGAGAGGGATGACGCTTACCCAGACTCTTTGGAATCTTATAACAATATTGACAATTCAAGAGAGTATAATTTTTATTCCGGTAATGAGACAGGAGTAGATAAACATCCTCCCGGAAAAAATAGTTCCAACAATATGAATTCAAACTATTCCAATAAGGATTTAAAATGCTTAGTTCATCCAGATTTTGAATTTGATAATGAAAGTTCGACCTATGGAGTGGGTTCTAATAGGGATCCCAACTATTCGTTACATTTACCTTACCCTATCCTCTTAGCTCCATCCATGCAAGTGGGCATGGAGGCCTGCCAAATTTATGCGAATCAATCTTGTTGTACTACTGAACAAGCCGATGAATTGATGTTACCGGTAATTTAAAAAAAAACTTTTGTTTTAAAGAATTAAATTACACTAAACAGAAATCTGTTTAGCAGTCTATATAATCCTAAACAGAATAAACTATTTAGATTAAGTATACACTTTAAAACTAAGCATAATAGGGTGTGTGTCCTAGTTCAAAATTTGAATAGAAATGAAACAGAAATATGTTTCAAAAAATAAGACTAACCAGGACATGGTCTAAATTATTAAAAATAGGATAAATGAAGTACTAGACGAACTAGAACATGGCCTAAATTATTAAAAATAGGATAAATGAAGTTCTGGTGAGCTGAAAATATTTATTATAAATTGTTTTATTTGAATAATCAAAGCCGTTAAAAAAAATCTAAAAATAAGAAGAACCAATGTTTTGAACCTATAAAGAAATGGTTCTGAATCGGAATATTAGATTTTTTATTAATAGAAACTTTGGTTTCGGTTTTTAGTGATTACGTCCCGAGGTTTTCGAAGTTCCCATGGTTTCGTTTTCTACCTTTAAGCAAGGAAGAGAAATTATAAAAAAAATCGGTTTCGGAGTCGATTTTCGTAACTGAAATCGTATATAATTTTCATGTTTTTTTTTGTTTGTTTTTTTTAAAGAATAATTAAAATTATAAATGAATTAATTTTTTAAAAACACAATTAAGCTCTTTCATTTCCAAAGAATAAAAAAATAAATCCTAATTGGTGCACTTTATAATTAATTAGAGTTTTCATAGTTTTTCCAATTTTTCAATTGTTCAGGTATCTTTTTTATACGAGTTTTTTGATCCTAAATAGTTTTCTTCCTATTTTATTAAACTTAATTAATGACTAGGAAAAGTCTAAATTAAATAATTTACCTTTTAGAATATGAAAAAAATGAGAAAGATAGCAATATTCGTATTTATGCTTTCTTCAAAGTTGAACTATAAATATTTTTTAAAAAAACCAACCCCTTGACTGAGATGTGATAATTTTCGGTTAAAAAGGCTAAAAATAGAGAAATTATCCCACTATGCTAGTTTGTATAGAATCGTTTATTTATTTATAAATCAAGGTTTTTTTAAAAAAAATGGTATTTAATAGTGATATAAGTTTTTTCTACCATGAATTTTTATATCTAATTTGATATTACATTAGCTTGCAATAGTAAATAATTTAATGAATTCATATTATAATTATTATACATTTTTAATATATTTTTATTATAATTGTGATAGTAATTACAAACGTATTTCTAGATAAATTAATCCCTTATTTAAAAAAATAATAATTTTGAAACTGCGCAATTTTTTTTTTATACATAATATCGCATATTTTGACATATCCCCATATAAGTATAATGTCAAAATTTATAGTGCAGTTATCAAATAGTGAGGTTTACAATAGCGAGGCTTTACTATATTGTCAAAGAGTAGTATAACATTCAGACTACATGCAACAGGTCTCAATAAATAATCAATATAATAAAAAGATATAATCCAGCCTTGCCCTAATCCATATAAAATGCTTTTTGCTAAATCACCTAGATGAGTTTTAAACTAATTTCAAAATTGTAAAATTAAGCATTTTACTTTTGGAATAAAACTCTAATCAAACATCAGGCTTTCACCAATTATATTTAATACATCTAAGATCCCCATTAGTTCATATCAGGTTTTGGCCTATATTAAAAATCATTTTATTTAAACCAGATTTACCAACATTGTTTCAAGGTAGCACGATTTTATAACCAATAAAAAGGGTTATAGAAGAAAGAACTTTTAAAGTTTGAAATTATATTCAGTCTTTATAGGGAAAATTACTCTTATAGAAAACCATTATTTTTTTAAAAAATCAGAGAAATTACTTTTGGAATAAAACTCTAATCAAACATCAGGCTTTCACCAATTATATTTAATACATCTAAGATCCCCATTAGTTGATAACAGGTTTTGACCGATATTAAAAATCAATTTATTTAAACCAGATTTACCAACATTGTTTCAAGGTAGCACGATTTTATAACCAATAAAAAGGGTTATAGAAGAAAGAACTTTTATAGTTTGAAATTATATTCAGTCTTTATAGGGAAAATTACTCTTATAAAAAACCATTATTTTTTTAAAAATCAGAAAAATTAATGTACACAGTCAAATAGCCTAAATCTAATAAATGAATTCAAATACTAATATTTAAGTATATTTTTTTAAAAAATGTGTTTAAATTGACTTAAAAAGGATTAACTGATTTGGTTACGTTACCTTTATTTAGAACATGTAACGGTTACAAAGACGTTTCGCTATATAATTTTAACATTGAGATTAAATGAAAATCAAATGGTTGCCACGATTTGAGAAAGTAGAATACCAAATCATTAACTCCCAAGACGATGAAATTTTAAAATAGAGAAATCCTAATCCTTCTTTCTATAAGATTCCTTATTTTCCGATAACCAATAAAATCAGAAATTATATTTAAAAGTGTTAAATTAATTTGCTTAAGAAAAAAATTTTTTTTATTAATGGTGGGAAATGTTTTTTTTTAAAGTAGCGAAATAAATATTATACCTAATAATTTAAGTGTACTCTCTTAGATGAAACCTAAAAGGATAAAAAGAATTTCTTATGGCACATTGAGATGCAATTGTTCAGACAGACTTTCCAGCCAAATAATTTAGAAGATTATAGGGAAGCAACTTGCAGTTCCATTTAAAAAAAAAAGGAACAGCTGATTTGCCTCTTCGGATTAAATAAATGAAAACCTTGATATCCTAAATTTGAAATATACAAAATTAAATATTTATAGTAATATGGGAATTATTATCCACTATTGCCTTGGGCAAACGAGGAGTCCTACCATAGGAATCTAGTGCCTATTTTATTTACGATAAAAAAAAACAGTTTAAAAAACTTTACAAGCAACTACTTTTAAATTGTTCGGCTATCCTGAATTCTACTTTAAATTGATTACAGAAATTCGACTATTTTTAAATTTATTTGTAAATTTAATTCAGCGATTTAGACTTAAATCGCATTCATAATGTAAAATAATCTAAAGAACTAGAGCGTTATATGACTAACATATGTAATCCGATGAAATTTTTTTATTTTGAAAGTAATATAGTGGAAATACATGAGATGTTTAGAAACATTTTCTAATCCCTTATATTATTTTTACTTTATAATTATTTATTACATTCTATATTTAAAAGATAAGGAAACACTCCGGTATTCGATGGAATCTTTGCGGAGACATGAGGCCTAGATGCAATCAAATTATGGCCGATTTGGAATGTTTTTATGAATGCTCACCTTTTATCTTCTCCTGGTACGTTGACAATTACCAAGATCGTAACTTCCAAGGAGATATACGCAGTAAAATGCTATCTCATTTTTATAACAATGTATTTATCTAAATTTACTAAGGATATAGGATAATAAAGTAACAATATAAATAATGCCATTTTCTTTTACTTTAGCAACCGATCTATAAAAAAAGGTATTTTTATTTCACAAAGGGCATAAAAACTGCATTTTCTACCAACCAGTTCACCATTGTTTAACAGCCAGAGAAAGTTTTTTTAGAACCTGCTTGACAAATTTAAAAAAAGACAGTAGTTCCTAAAAGATGTTATATTAATTTTGAGGAATTTCCTTGTGAGCTGTCATTCTCATTAGGTCATATATAATATAAAATATAAATATTTTCGTAATATTATTATTTAAAATTTCATAAACTCATGTTCACCGATATAAATATCACCGTATTTCGAAAGACATAAAAAAATGTGACCTTACCGTTAGATCATCTAACACCTGTTCTTAAAAAAATTTATTTTTATAACGCATTCTTTTATTATAAAATAATGTTTCATCTATCTCTTCATCTTACATTTTTATTAATTTATTCGTCAAAAAATTATGGTATCTAAAAAGAGATTCAAAAACATAAAGTATATGTCATAATTTTTAAAGAGATCAGAACTATCCGGGATCATCGTGAGATTTAAAGGGATCCCTTTAAGGATTCATTTTTTTAAAGGATAAAGAACTATATGGGATCATCACGTTTGAACCTTGATAAAGAATAATCTTATTTAAAAAATGCGTTTTACACGCATTTCAAAGTTGTTTTTTTTTATATGGTCTTCTAATATACGATATCAATACATATCTAATTAAAATATCTATTCAACTAAAGGTCTACCTCTCCCCCTTAATGGGCGAATCTAGGTTTAGGGGTCATGAATTATCAAAATAAAATATCAATATGGGTATCAAATAATAGCTAATTTAAATATCTGAAAGTATTCATTCTTGATCTTGGTGGGTAGGACTTAGTCTGGGGAGAGGCATGTATGGAGGGGGGGGGTTAAAAAAGATAAATTTTGATATGGGTATCAAATAAAAGGTATTAAAAAATATTTTTTTATAATAATTATTATCATTCTAAGTGGGCGGGTTTAGGTCTTGGGGGATCAGGAATATTTTTATCAAAACAAAATATCGATAGTGATCAAATAATAGCTAATTTAAACATGTTTTGACTGATAACATATATTCTTGGTCAGGGAGGGGGGGGGGTGAAGAGGGTTGGGTAAATAAATAAATCTGATTTTTTAGAATATTAGTTTCAATGCTATTATTCACATATATTGCCCACTTTAAAAATAAATAATTACTATATATGCGATATAATAAAGCTTAACTACTTATATTTAAAGTGTAATAACTCTTGGCCCAGTACTTGTCCCATTCTAGAATTTTGTATAAATATTAGGAGGTATAATGCCTACCAGAAAAAAAATTGAAAAAAAGAGTAATTTTTATTTTATAGCCATTTCCGGTTTTTTATTTCCGGTTTTTGGTAATAACTTATTTTTAATAAAATAAATTTTATATAATATTAAAGGACTATTATAGAGCTATTTAATAAAATTTAAATTATGTTTTTAGCCTAATTTTGAGATATTTTAAATTAAATATAGTGTATTTTGGTTTAGCGTTTCTAAAGATGGCCATATTTCATGAAGTAAGCCGATTTGAAAATAAAATTATATATTTTTATTAGTTTTATGCTAACAACATACAAATTTAAAAGAGGTAAGGATTTTTTGGGTTAATTTAATATAAAATACATCAATATTAAAAAGAGTTAAACCATTCAATCTACCTTTCAGAGGTCGTACTTAGCAAAACTGTTGTTAATCGACTAGATTTGAACCGATACAGCTAAAACTCAATATTTTATCCAAAAAAAGTATAAAACAAGCCTTAGTTTATATTCAGCTAGTAATGTATCATGGGATACATTAATATCCTCAAATAAAAATCTGCCAACTATCAAGATTTGAAATAGATTTATACTGTGGTAATAATATTTTCAGATTTATAAGTGTTGCCTGTTTAACCAAGAACCTTATTCATTTGCGTTATAAAACTATCCAAGAAGGGGATAAGGAGATGTATTTTATAGCATTCTTCGACTGACCATACATTAATATTGGAAAGATGGACTTGATTTGCGAGTTGAGGTAGACAAATATTATATAGAACTCTACTTTTGACTCAACCATGACATCTTGGCAAATTTATTTCTGCTGTGATTGTGATAAATAGATGTAAATCGGAATATATGTTAAGAGGTAGGATGATTATTATTAAAATATAAATTAATAATTATAAGATAGAAATATTTTTGAAAAATATCAGCACCTGAATTTTTGTGTTTTTACTCCGTATAGCTGGAATTCATTTCCAGCAAATTTATATTCTTTAAATTAAACGCTCTCAGAACATAATTACAAGTTGAAAAAATAACACCTTTGAATATATTACAAAATTAGAATCTAAATTTTTTAATTAACTTATTCGAACGCCAATCTCGACGAAATAAAAGAAATCATTTGTCCCATTTGGGCCGAAAAGATTTTAGATCTAATTTTAACTAAAAAGAAAGAAAGGGCTAATATTTTTATGTATAAGTATTTTGTAATTTTCATGTATAAAAAATATTTCAAGATAAAATCACAAAAATTTTGAAGATTTAAAAAAAAAAAAAATTTAAACAGAACCGAACCAGATTAAAAAAACGATATTTAAATTATTTCTTCTCCCTGTTTTCCTCGTTATCTAAAATTTTGTATTATAAATACATACTTAATTAGGGGATTAATATAATACTAAAAAAATGATCAATTTTAAATGGAAAATTTAATTGGCCCAATGTTATTTTATCTTTAATTGATTAATTCACACTGATATCATGGATACAGTAAACCGTTGATTTTTATATCAAATTGAATAAATTAAATTCTTCATATTTTAAAATTTCAAAAATAAATTATCCTTATAAATTCATGTTGTAAATAATAGCCAATATATTTTTTTATCGCTCTGATCAGATAAATCAGTTGTCCTGATGTACGAATAAATATCAAAAATGATATATATATATAGCCTGCAAAATCCTAAATACTAAAATAAATGGGCAAATTATTAGATGTAGTTTAGTTCAACGGTTCCTGTTCAAACCGTTTTATGGACGGGACCAATTTTTAAAAAGTTTTTGGATATATGATAGTGAAGAACATGATTCGCCTTTAGTCCCGACCGGAAAATATCAGTCTGGACTAAAGATCAATGAAACGAGCAGCCTTTTATATTTTTTTAAAAATATATATTAATGTTTATGTTTTCACGACTAAATTAATTTGTGGTTAATTAATTTATATTATGTGATAAAACAATTATTATTGATGATTTTTTTTAAAAATAATAAATGTCAATATCTTATGGAGATGCTTGGGATTGAAATCAAAGGAGTTTAATGGGATGGGAATATCTATTTGACTTTTTAGCCAAGAGTTCATACAAATGATAGCTTACATTGTCTTATTTAGAAAGTATGTTTTTTTGTGACAAGATCCCCTGCTTTGATAAAGATACTTTATAGTGGATAGATGTTACTTGTATAGGTCTATTGTGTTATGATAAGTTTGATGGGGGATTGAGGGAAGGCGAATGGATATATGGAAATTACCATATATAAAAAATAATACATAATAGATATAAATAAGAATAATTTTATTTGTTAAGCAGTGTTATTATCTATCCATAAATTTAGAGGTCAATTAAAATATAATGAATGAAGTTCGATTCTATAACTCACTGAGATCGATTCATTTTGAATGATTATGATTGGACCTAAGAATTTTTTAAAAATTTTAGAAGAATAAAAACAAAAGAAAAAGATTTTTAAAAAAAAACTATATAATAATAATTATGAAATATCGATTTTATCTTCTAAGATATAAATTCATTTGAAAGTATATTTTCTAAGTTTTTCTTTTATAAATATCTTCATATTTTATATAAAAAAAATTTAAATTGAGTTTTATTATAAGTAGATTTATTATAAGTAGTTTTATTTTTTATTAAAAATAAAATCAAATAATATCTGAAACTTATTTGATAAAATATAAAATATGGTTCTTTTGGGACAATTTAAAAACAGTTTTTTTTCTAGATAGATTTTATTAGATAAAAAACATAGGCGTAGCCAAGGGGGGAGGGATGTTCCTTCCATTCAGAAATGTGTTGGTCTTCGTTAATATCATTTTAAGCTGGTAAATATTATCCATTACATACCCATTCGACACCACCCCCCCCCGCCCCCTCCTTTTTCAAAATATGCATATTATATGTTACTATAATTTAAAAGAAAAATAAAAATATTAATAAAAAAAATTGAAAAATCAAAAAATATATTTTTGCCAAATATAACGGGGCCCTATTTCTATTTTATAATTAATATTTTAAGTCAAACAAGGAATGATACAAGCTTTAAGAAAACAGCTAATAGTATCATATTATAACTTAAGAAATGTGAGCTCCAGGAGTTAAAATAAACATTTTACCTTTTTTAATAAAATAGTGGTCGAGAAGGATCTGATTAAGAGCTATTATTTACATATTTTTTTCAAAATAGTTATTCAAGGTTTAAAATATGTAACCTACTTTAATTTGGTTATAAAGCAAAGACATATATGTGCTCACATATAGGTCCTATTTAAATAATAAAATATAGGAAATCAAAAATATCGGTATTTTAAATGATTCAACCTCTTGATTTTTCTGTTTGATAAAATTAAATATATTTGAATAAATTTGGCCAAGGTCCGAGTTAGGTACTTGGCATATTAAATTCCACGTGCCCCGAGTTTGTAATGTAACACGCCAACCCCCCCCCCCCCCCATAATTAATTTAAAAATATTGAACCAACTTTAAAATCAAAACTTAATGTTAACAGTTAATGGCGGTTGCACTTTAGTTATTATATGGAATAATTTTTAAGTAATAGATTGAGTGACCTAAAATAATAACCATTTTTATTTTCATTTTAAGAAAAAATAACACTTAAAATAATAAACTTAAGACACATTCTTTATATATCCAGTTGAATTTAATATCAGAAATAAGAATACATACATACATTTAATTTAATATTATTCTTATATGATAAATTTATTCTTATAAATATTTTGAATTTAAATAAGAAGTGTAATGGCATGGAGGGGTAAGATCTATCAACTTGCAAGGATCGGCTGAGCCAAATCTATGACTAACCGAACACCGGAATCGGTTTAATCCAGTTACAGCAGATCTGTCTTAGCCATTTTTGTTGGTTCGGATTTTGATCATCACTGTTTACAGATTTTATAAATAAGTAATTATTCCTTATAATATATATAAAAAAAGAGGTTCCCATATGTTCCCAATTTTGCGATGCCTGGTATGAAGCATGTCAAAATGAAAAAACTTGCGCACATAAAGGTAACTGGTTAAAGGGGTTATTACCTGTATCTTCCTCTCACGTCAAAAATATGGACTCTAAATGCCCAGCGGGAAAGGAATGCGTGCGATTTTCTGAAATATACATGAATGGCGAAACGCTGTGCGGCAGTTTGTGGGGAAATAGGTTTCCAAATACATTAAATAAAATAATTACCTTAAACATTAATATTTAATGAAATTATCATACTGGAAAAAATTCTGAAAATTACAGAGCTCAAGCGAGGGTTATATGCTGATATCTTTCATTGATATTTTATAGCATTTTTTTTCAGCAGTGTTTACATTAAATTATACTTTTTATATTTTATTTTATTATGTTTTGATATTTTTTACAAGATATAAATACGAATCAAATAATGCCAGCTGCTTCGATCCGTTAAAACCCAACACACACGAAAAAGTTTGGAAATCTATCAAAAACTCTTCCCATTCATCAAATTATAAATCTTCGGCACTGATCATCATTATTATTTGCAATATATTTCTATATTATATTGGCGTTGGATAATAAATACTAGTATATAAATTTCAACTATAATCTTACTCAACTTGTATATGCCTGTGAATTAGGTTATTATATATCCACTTTTTGTAAAAAATAACTATCTATCAATAGCCTAATTTTTATAGTCACATAATTCTTTTACATAAAAAAATCTGAAATATTTATAAAATAAGTTAAATTTATCATATGGTGCCAATACCATTATATTGATAAAAACTTAATTTTTAAAATTGCTCTTCTGTAATAATAGAAAAAGTGGAGATGGGTTATCTAATTCTCAGACAACGATATGGTACATTAATCTGGAATAGTGACATATCCGGAACCTCCTTTAGTGATTAGAATCTCCCATTTTAAACTATTGATTTTTAATATGAATATCTGATTTTACTGGAAAGCATACAACACCTACCCTATCAATTTCAGACAATTTCGCCTGACACATTTTTTTAAATTCATATGAAAAATTTATAATATGATAAATAATATAAATTAAGACTTAATATTTTTAAAAAAATAATTATTTCAAAAGTTCAAACCAAAATTTTATTAAATTTACATGGTCAGTAGTCTATACCTGCCAGGGGCGTACGCAGGTATTTGGTCAGGGGGGGGGAGATAATAAAATTTTTTAAGAAATATTATTGTTTTTTAAAAATATAAAGCATAAATTTATTAGGACTAATAACTATTTCTAATACACAATTTTAAATTAATGTGAATTTTAAAAAATTATATGTAAAGAATCATTTAAATGACCCAAAATATTTGAATTTTTTGAGTCTTTACTCAAAAAGTTTCTTTGGAATAATTGCATTTTGTATCTTATATATTTACAATGTAAAATCCAATCTTCGTTGTGATTGAGCTAATTTTTCAATTTTCTCATCCTTGCTTGTCGTCGAATGCCTATGAATATTCAAAAGATCCAAACCTTTCAAACTACTTTCAGATGTTGTACTTCTTGGTATGTTTTTCAGAGACCTGCAGGCTCGGCCAAACCTTTCAAACTATTTCAGATGTTGTACTTCTTGGTATGTTTTTCAGAGACCTGCAGGCTCGGCCCCCGGGCCGGACAGTATTTTAATTTTTTTAAATATACCCGGGCCCGAAATTTTTCCAAAAAAACATCCAATCCGGGCCTGAGTTATTTAAAAAAACACCCAATCCGGGCTGTATTTTTTAAAACTGCCTATATTTGAAATCGTTATTATTAGCTATAAAAATCAAAAATAAATATAATTTATTTTACAAAATCAGGGCTGGGTCTGAAAATTTTATTTAAAAAAAAGCCGGGCCGGGCCTGAAATATTTTTTTAAAAAATGCCGAGTCTGGCCTAAAAATTTTTAAAAAAAAACCAGGCCGGGCCGTAAAAAATCTTTAAAAAAATCCGGGCCGTGCCCTGCAAATAGTACTTCTGCATGCCTCTGTTATTCTTCTTAAAAAAGAGAATGTTCTCTCATTAGTTTACTAATGGGAAGAGTTTATAAACCCTTTTAATACTGGGAATTTAATCTAAAATGTATTTGAAATAATGCAGAGCATCCATAGCATTTTTTGGGACTTTATCAACCATAGTTAATCTTATAAACATAATTATTCAGCTAGTAAGGCATCATAAGATACTTTAACATTTTCATAATAAAAATCTAACAAATATTTTTTTTTCCATCACCATCTGAAAAAGGTTGGGAAAGCTTTTGTGGAAGTAATATTTGCAGATTAGTAAGTGCTGCATGATGAATTAAAAATTCATTTGGGTTATCAATGTATCTGTATTTAAGATATACTCTTCTACTGATCCTATATTAATGTATTAACGATGAGTTTGCCTTGCTACAAGTCGAGGGAGACAAATATTGAACACGATAGCTCTGCTTTTGACTCAACAATAAAATATAAAATATGAAATTCTTCATCAACATTAGCCCTAATTTCCTTGAGTTTTGATAAAATGCTATCCGCTATTCTCATCTTCTTAATCAAGTCAATGTCCAGTTTTTGAAAAGTAATACTTAAAATAGTTGTATAATTAAATAATACATTCTAAGGAGAAATAAAATTTGGAATAAGCATTGAATCCAATAATTTTCTCGCTTCTGAGGAAATATTTCTTTCAGGCCATTGTGATATTTCAGTAATAGCAAATAATTGGCTCTTCTAACTCCTTAAAAGCTGTTACTGCTTGATGGTAGAGACTCTATCTCGTTGGACAAGGTTGCAATCTATTTCCCTGTTGGACAAGAAGTTTCAGAAATAATTATTATTTGACTAGAAATTTGAAAATGGTAGATAAATATTACGCCACTAAAAATTTGAAAATAATAAGTAAATTACGACGGAAAACTTGAAATCGAAATTAATTGATAAAATAACTTAGTAGATAAATGTGATAATAAATGTAATTAAATATATATTTAATATGAGATACGAATAAATATTAACAAATATAAATATATAAACAAAAATATTTTTAAAAAATATATCAGGGAATTGCATTTGGACAAATCCCCTCCCCCGCTGCGTACGCCAATGATACCTGCTGGAATTCATTTCCTGATGAAATCAAATCTCAAATCTAAACGCCCTTAGTAAATAGTTTAAAATTGAGATTTCCAATCACCACTAGATTTAGGAATAGTCCTGAAGAAAAATGACATAGTAGATAAATAAATTATTTTTAATAAGACAAAAAAGAATGACCAAAAATTGAGAAAAGATAAGAAAAATAAAGATTAAAAATCCCTTAAAGTAATGGCAGAAAATTAGAAATAAAATAAGAAAGAAAAATAAAAAAAACTTAAAATTTCAGAAAAATTAAAAATTTATATTTTAAAAAATAACGATTTTCCTTTTTGAATGGAAATTTTATTTTTTGAATGATATTTATCCTTTTCTATTGGTACTTTTCCTGATTAACTCTTTTTTGATTGAATATTTTCATTTTTTTGACACTTTTCCTTTTTTGATTGATACTTTATCTTTTGTGATCGGAACTTTTCTTTTTATTGTTGATATTTTTCCTTTTTAAGATGGAAAACGTCTACAAATATGGACAGCACCCAACAATTACAGTATTAATTAACAAACATGAAATTAAAATGGAATATGATACAGGTTCAATCATTAATGCAACATTATGGAAAAATATGGGGGGGGGGGGCAAAACTTAGAATGGTTAGAACTCCAACTATATCTGAAAACAATACAATAAAAATTAAAGGAGAAGCCTTTCCGTTATTAGTTACAAAAATAAATGATACAGCACAATTCGAATTTCCATGGGCTATAGAATTTGATCTATCGTTTTCAATGAAAGTTAAAGTCAATATGATCAGCAATAAATATAATAATAATGATAATGGTAACGTGTTTGATAATAAATTAGGAATAATATATTATATTATTGAGTTCAAACTAATTCATAATAGAATTTAAATTACTAAATTATAAAATACTATATATAGATAAAGATACCAATTGTTTTGACTAGATCATTTAAGTTTTTAAAATATTAAAGCATTTAAAAATAAAAGTTTAAACTAACTTTGATTGGTGAATATATAAATATATTTTATAAAGATATTTTTGATTGTATCTAGTCTTTCCTTTCCTCCCACTTCTCTTCATTTTCCTTCCCTTCATTTTCCTTCCCTTCATTTTCCTTCCCTTCTCCACCGTTCCTCCCACTTCATTTTTTCTTTTTTTTTCCATTTTATTTTATATTATATTTTTCTCTTTTTTTGGGGCGTGAAAGGGGAGAGAGAAGAATGGTGGAACGGAAAGAAAGAGAGGAGAGTGGGAAGGAAAGGAAGGTGGAAGGTAAGGGAAAGGAGGAGTAGGAAGGTAAGGGAAAGGATAGATCGGTTGTGATAGGAAGGATGGTAAAGTAAGGGATTGGACTCGGAGGAGATTGGAAGGTGATCGGTTGGGACCGGAAGGGATAAAAGATTATGAGATCGGATAGGATAGGAAGATAAGGGGCCGGATGGGCTCGGATAGGATAGGAAGGTAGGGACCAATTGGGATCGAATAGGATAAGGAAGTATTAGATCGGTAAAGGTCGGAAGAGATTGGAAGCGAAAGGTGAGGAAGAGAAAGGATCGGAGAAGACAATGGTATATATAGACTTGAATATTGTACTTCCTTTTTTAGAAAAATAATATAAAATGATAAAATAATTGACTTTAAATAATTTTGCTTGCGGCCATTATTTACAACTTTAATTTATTCCCAATAATCATAATTAGGATTAACTTTAATAGAAATATATTTTGGTAATGGGTATAAGAAAAGAGAAAAAAAATGGTCATTATCAGATTTTCTGATTCATATGTCATAACGAATATTTATTAGATAGTTTTCATAGTAGTTTTTTCAAAAAAAGAGTATGATTATGTGAATACCCAATTACAAAATTGTTCTTTCATTGCAATTACGACAACTAAACTTTTACACAAATATACAAAACTTGCAGTCACGGAACCTCGAAAAATAATGTAATTTAGAGAAAATCCAGGCAACGCTTTAAATTTTTTACAAAACCCGGGTCACTAAATTAAATCATACTAGTAAAAATGTCAAAGGTCTCGTTAATAATTGAAGTGCTCCAAGCGTAAAATTGTGGAAAAGATAATTTTATTTTAAAGTTGCCTTGACCAACGGTCCGGTCCTATCGGTCTTTGATCGAAACCAATAGTTTCCAAGGACTGCAGTCTGGACCAGTTTCCACTAATTCATTGTGAAAAAAAGAGAACTCTTAATTGACATCATTAAAGATTTTATAAATTTATTAACCTTTTCAAATTAGAGATAAAAGTAGAATCTTCAAAATAAAATCGCGCTAAAAATATCTATAGAATACGGCAGTTGACATATTATTTTAATTTTTTCTAACAATTGATTTAAGTTTATTTTTTATCATTTCGTTTTATGGAAGCCTTATCCAAGGCAATTCGATATTTACAAAGTTAATTATAAAATAACCATTTCAAATTAGAGTAGAAGTAAA